TCCTCTTCGAGTGCATCCATTGTTGACTGGAACTCTTTCTTTGTTCCTTCGTCTTCCTCTGCCATCATTGCCTGAGTCTCTTCTCTCAGGCCGGCGAAGGCTTCCTGCTGCTTGCCGTGTGCGGAGGCAAGCATGGTCTCCTCCCGGGCATGGGCATTCTTGATCTGCAGGAAGAGCACTGCCCTAACGGGCTTTTTCTTGTCCTTGTTCTCTTGCCTTTCCTTGTCGGCTTGTTGCTTCTCCAGCACCGTTTCCATCCACCTTTGATCTCGCAGAGCCTCTTCCTGCTTGAGCTGATCGAGGTCTCGGGCGACATGCAGTCCCGGCACCGAGGCGTTTTCCATGCCTTGGTCGAGCATGGCCTTTTCGGTTGCCAGCCTTTCACCGGCCTTTTTGAGCCTCTGTGCTGTCTGCTCTTGGCAGACAGCCAGCTCGTTTTGGTCTGTGACGTCCATTCGCTGGCGAAGAGTTCCTGCTACGCTGTGCTCCTGTGCGAGCTCGCCCAGCAAGCCACCAAACTCCTTCAGCATCCAGACGCCTCTCAACTGTTTGCTCTCGGTGTCATCATCCTGACACCTTTTCAAGAACTTCGCCCGCCCATCCTCGTAGCTCTTCACGAGGCCCAAGGTCATCTCTCTGGCGACCCAGTCTTTCTCAAGCCACCACCTATCCTGCTCGCTGTTTCTCATGGAAGCCCGCCGAGTGTCTTCGACAACCCCGACGGCGGTGGCAAATGTTCTCTTCTTAGACACACCGCCACCACCACCGTCCTGGCGGTGGGACTTCTTTTCACTCCTGTACCACTCGTGCTGCTCTTCCTTCGTCATCTTCCCCAGCTGCTTCTTCAAGTCCGCAGCAGTCTGGCACTTGTTCAGCGTGAGCATTGAGCTCACCCTCTTTGGCTTTCTTCTGAGCCAAACTCTTCGCCTGATGGGAGCTAGGATTAGGGGATTAGGGGGACCCTTGGGGTACCCGTTAAGGGGGTCTCCCTAATAATACTACCTACCTGAGCGATCCTGAGCGATCTGCTTGTTCAAGATCCGGAGCAACTCGTTTCGTCCCGTTGCCTGGGAAGTCGAAACAGTGGTGGGCTCGTTGCATTTGCGGCAAAGGAGTTCGCCGGTCCCATCCATGGCTGGTCTCGCTGACTTGCACAGAAGGGGCCAGGACACCAGGCCAGAGGGGTCTCGGTCAGGTGCTGCTGCTTGAACCAGCAATTGTTATTTCATTTTCAAGCCTAAGCCCTACACTCTAGTTGTCAGAACACACTTCCTGGCGACTGAAGGAAGTGCACCATCATGAAGCATGCCATCCGCCTGTATCGAAAACCTTTTGCACAAAGTGCACTGATCAGCTAAACTGATTAAAGAAACTGAGGCCTGCATTGCACGCACTGATCTAATTAACTAAATTAAGACACCGAATTGACTACAGACTATGGAGCTCTCCGGCAGTGACAGCTGTGCTTCTGCACTCTGCCATGAGAAGCTGAAGGCTGCCTAATCGAGATCTATGGCTTTGCATCCGCATGACCGACGCACTGCCAACTTGTCCAAATGGCTACTACGGTTCGCTCTGGGACTGGTCGGACTGGTACTACGACTATGGATGAGCTCTCCGGCGGCAGCTGTGGCTGGACTTTGGATATGATGAGCTCTCCGGCAGGCAGGCAGCTGTGGCCTGTCTTGTGGGACTATGGATGAGCTCCCCGGCGGCAGCTGTGGCTGGACTATTAATGGGACTATGGATGAGCTCTCAAGCGGCAGCTGTGGCTGGACTATTAATGGGACTATGGATGAGCTCTCCGGCGACACTCCTGCATCCGCCCACGGCTTGCCTTCTTTGCTATTGATGCCTGTCTTTCCCCGGAGACGCCTTCGCTTGGCAGCTGTGGCTGTGGATCTGGGACTATGGATGAGCTCTCCGGTGGCAGCTGCTGCTGCTCTTCTCGGACTATGGATGAGCTCTCCGGTGGCAGCTCCAGTGGCAGTTGCTGCTGCTCTTCTCGGACTATGGATGAGCTCTCCGGTGGCAGCTCCAGTGGCAGCTGCTGCTGCTTTTCTCGGACTATGGATGAGCTCTCCGGTGGCAGCTGTGGCTCTACGCACATTTCGGTTGGCAGCTGTGGCTGTGGATCTGGGACTACGGAAATTTTGCTTCCTGTGGCCCCGACCCATGCTGCCTGTGGCTCTTAGGTCCTCAAATGCCATGTCCCACAACTGCTTTGGACTGGCTGCTGGAGGCGGCCGGCCTTCTGAAGTCACCCCGGCCCGATCTGCCAGCAGAAGCATCGGAGCCACGAGACATGCCATCACCAACGTGTGCATGCCGTTGCCGGAGGCTCTCTTTGCAGCTGCCCTACTGGCAAAAACTGTTGCTGTCTCTGCCGGGTGGCCCATGAGCAAGAACCTCTCCGGGATGGAGAGCATTCGGCGCAGCTCTTGTTTATCCCAGGTCTGTTGCAGGTCTTCCAGGCTCAATAGAAAAAGAGCCGGGCCGCCAGTCCGGAGGCTGCTGGTCTTGCCCAACTCGAACCGAGGACCGTAAGCATTCGTGGGGTCACGGTCCAGTTCTGCACAGGCCACACGAGGGCGGCCTTGGTCTTCAGACTGGGATGCCATGCCCTTGTACCTCTCCAGGTTCCTTTGCATCCCAACCGACAGCATGCTCGGGTCGGTGGGTGGCAAGCCTTGCTGCAAAAGTGACTCCAGTGTAACGGGCTTTCCATGGCCAAGCTGGTCCACTGTCACCACTGGCAAAGGGCCTTGGAACCCACGAGGCAAGCAGTCCAAACGAAGGCCTCGGATGAAAGTCCGCCGTCTCCGCATGGGCCCCCAATCAACAGAGTCTTCCACACGCAAATCCAAGTAGAACCACGGCAAACAGCACCTGAGGTGGTCTATCACCTGATCACAGTATGGGTGCCCCTGCAAGGTATTGGAGTTCTCCAGCAGAAACCAGAGCAAACAACCCCGGGTGCCCAACTCGACTACCCAATTCACAACTGTGTCAAAGGGAACCGATCGGGCATCAGAGGTGCCATGTCTTTGGCCAGCTGGGGAGAAGGGCTGGCATGGTGGCCCAGCCACGAGCCCTTCCGAATCCTCGAGCTTGTCGAGGGGGACGTCTGTTATTGAGTGCTTTGGCCCTATGTGTGCACCTGGAACAGCCTTCCAATGACCCAGCAAGCCAGTGTCTGTGTCGTAACAATTTACGGCACGGTGACTGTGCAAGTCGCCTGGCTCAAGGGACTGCTGTACCCAGGTCTTGAATGGGCTCAGGACATGCACCCTCCATGGACAGGACACACAGCCACACACCACACACTTGAAGTCTTGTCTCAGCCCCAAGCTGTGAACCGAATCGACGGTGGTCTTGGTCTCTGCACTCATTCAACACTTCCCGCCGAGTTCCCGCCGAGTTCCCGCCGAGTTCCCGCCAGTTCCCGCCGAGTTCCCGCCGAGTTCCCGCCGAGTTCCCGCCAGTTCCCGCCGAGTTCCCGCCACGTTCCCGCCAGTTCCCGCCAGTTCCCGCCAGTTCCCGCCAGGTTCCCGACAAGTTCCCGACAAGTTCCCGACGAGTTCCCGACGAGTTCCCGACGAGTTCCCTCCCAGTTCCCTCCCAGTTCCCTCCCAGTTCCCTCCCAGTTCCCTCCCGGGGCCCTCCCGGGGCCCTCCCGGGGCCCTCCCCGGCACCCTCCCGGCTTCCTCCTGGTTCCATCCCGGTTCCCTCCTTGGGTTCCCGCTTCCCGGTTTTGTTTTGGTTGTTTTGGTGGTGTTTTGGAGCCGTTGTTGTATGTTCTATATCTCAAGCCTTGTTTGCCTGTGCAGCTGGTTGCCAGCACAAACAATAGCCTTACGTGATGTCCCGCAGCAGTGCATCGCCAAGATCCCTTCTTGAATTTGTAGGATGAATAAGCGGAAGCGTGGTGCCTCGCCTGAGGCCGCTCGTGCGGCCGGAGCTTCCGCAACGTTGCCAATGGATGTGTGCCTCTCTATTTCCGGAGGCAGTGCAGCGGCTGCGAGAGCAACTGGATCCAACGGGTCCGGCTTGGGCTCCCTCGCAACGGCTGCACCAGCAACTTCGTCCGCCTTGGACTCCTTCGCAACGGCTGCAACGGCAACTTCGTCGGCCGTCGGATCCGCCGCGGGGCAAATCTGGAAGTGGTGTTGGAAGAAGACAGTGCAGGACGGCGGCGAAGTTGTGTGGTGGTGGCAGTGGTGGTCAGAGCCACGTGTCTGAGCCACTGTCACAAGCCACACAAGCCACAAAGCCACAAGTGTGGACCGTGTGGAGGCGAGACACGAAGTCACGAAGTGAGTTAGTGTTTTTGGTGCTGAATGGACAATCCATGACAGCCCCACGACTAACAGCCTGATGTGAGCATCCATAGGAAGCAGAGAATTCAGCTGCATGCTCTCCGATTGCATGACCCAAGGCAGTGAATGGAAAATGCAGCATTTGTTTTGTTTATGCAAAGGCGTGCCAGTCGGTAGCAAATCGACTGAAACGGATGCGATCTCTGCGATTTCGTGTTTTTTTCCTTGACACAGTGCTGTATGTCCGGATCTCGCCGATTATCGCCCGAGTGTCAGCCGTTGTTGTCCTATGTTTCCTAGAGTCCAAGAAAGGGCCTCACACAGCCTTTGAAAACCTTTCTGAAGCCTACGCCGACACTCACGGGCTTTTGCAAAAGGGCTGCGAACTCCTCACAGGGGCCCTGCTACTGGCTCTCGCGGAATCTCGGGCCGAGTGGCCGAGTGTCAACCTTTGTGTCCTATATTGTCCTTTGATGGAGTACAACAGCCTCTTGATTCACACAACACAACTTTCGAGAACCTGTTTTAAGCTTAAAACCATCGTTGAACACTCAGTCACTCAGCTAGCTCGTGAAACGAGGCTACAACCCTTCCGCTGCGGCCCGACTGCGGCCCGCGACCAAGGCCGATCTCCATGCCTCCGTCCCGGGCCTCATCGAAAGCCCTGCCTTTGTCCCGGGCCTATCGCAGCAAATCCTTCCCCAACGAGACAAGATCCGCATACACTCGGAGACCCATGCGTCGGTCACCGAGTGTACGGTCGGAGGAGTCCCCTGTGGAGCCCGGGCCCGGCTGATCATCGGTGCCGGGATCCTTTCTCGGCTTGCTGCGGGCCGGTCGCGATGAGGGCGAGGATCGGCGGGAACGGCTCCTGAGGCGCACTGGCCTTTGCTGTGGCCCGGCTGTCTCCTCCGGCTCAGTCTCTCCCGCTGCCCAAGTGCAACGGTTACTGTGTTGCTGGAGGTCCCACTCCGTCCAAAACTTTCGTCCGCAACCGCAGACGAAAGTTCTCTGTGCATGCCCACCGTTCTGGCGGTTAAGGCAATGGGAGTTATGCATGAGGTGGAGGCTCATGCTGTCGGGATGCACTTGCACCCCGCAGACCGGGCAGGTCACACGGCCCCGCCTGTTGCGGGGCAGCTCGGACAGCTTGAACTTGGCAATGCCAATCTCATTGAAGGGCCCAAACTCCTCGTCTTCGTTCTGCGGCTGCTGGGCGGGGTCCCTTTGCTGGCTGTGGCCACGGCCCCCCTTTGGCCCCTTGTCGCCCTTCTTGTCGCCCTTCTTGCCGCCCTTCTTGCCGCCCTTCTTGCCGCCGGATCCGCTGCTCACAAGCGAGAAGCTCGAATCACGAGGCTTGCCGTCGCCGCCACCGTGGTTGTCGCCGCCACCGTGGTTGTCAAAGCTGTCAAAGCCATGGTGCTTGCCACCGTGGTTGTCGCCGCCACGGTGCTTGTCGCTGCCACGGTGCTTGTCGCTGCCACGGTGCTTGTCGCTGCCACCGGGCTTGTCGCCGTCACCGTGCCTGTGGCCATCTTTCTTGTCGCCACCACCGTGCTGGCCGCCGCCACCGTGGTTGTCGCCGCCGCCACCCGCCGCCGCCACCGTGGTTGCGGTCTCTGCCGTTACTGCTTCCACGGCGTCTGCTGATGCTGCGATTGTTCGGGCTGCGGTCTCTGCCACGGTCTCTGCCACGGCCTCTGCTGCGGCCTCTGCTGCGGCCTCTGCTGCGGTCTCTGCCACGGTCTCTGCCGCGGTCTTTCGCCTCTGCGACCGGCGGTCAGCGATGTCATCGTCGTTTGAAGGTGGCACCGCCTCAGAAGCCTCAGGAGCCTTCCCTGGCCGCTTCTTCTCCTCCGACTCACTCTCGTAGGATTCCGAGTCGGAGGCCTGGATCGCCTGAGCCTTAGCAGCCTGGCGCTGATCGCCTGCACAGGTGTCTACTACAGGCACATGACTCCGAACATCACATACGGCCTTTGCCACCTGAACCCCTGAACTCCGAACATCACATACGGCCTTTGCCACCTGAATCCTGGGTTGCTGGCCTGAACCCCTGAACTCCGAACATCACATACGGCCTTTGCCACCTGAATCCTGGGTTGCTGGCTCGCCAAAGGCGCCGCAGTGGTAGGAGCCAGCCGCCCCACCCACTCTCACCAAAGGCGCCGCAGTGGTAGGAGCCAGCCGCCCCACCCACTGTCGCCAAAGGCGCCGCAGTGGTAGGAGACAGCCGCCCCACCCACTGTCGCCAAAGGCGCCGCACTGGTAAAAGCCAGCCGCCCCAACCACTGTCGCCAAAGGCGCCGCAGTGGTAGGAGCCAGCCGCCCCACCCACTGTCGCCAAAGACGTCCCAGCGGTAGGGGTGAGCCAGTCCCATTGGATGCAGGAGCATCTGAAACACAAGCCTAAGCCCCCCTCACGGAAACTACCACAAACCCTTTTTCTGACACCCTCGCCGCACCCCTACCTGGCCTCAAAGAACAAGGGCCAGTAGCTCCACCAGGGGGCAGGAGTCATGAAGAGCCCCAGCCCAAGGCTATAGCCAAAAATCTGCAGCAACAGAAATTAATTGGGTCCTTGAAAATGCACCACCACACATCATCATCTCAAACCTCAGAACACTAAACCACACCATCACACATTATCATCTCAAATCTCAGAACACTAAACCGCACCATCACTCTCAAATCTCAGAATACTAAACCGCACCATCACACACATCATCATCATAATCATCATCATCTCAAACCTCAGAACACTAAACCACGCCATCGCACACCATCATCTCAAATCTCAGAACACTACAGGCGGCGGCGAAACCATGTTTGTGCCAGCAGCATGACCTCGTGATTCGTGACTCGTCACCGTTCCGGGCTTACCTACTGAGCAACGGCCTGGGCTAACAAGAGGGCATCTACTTCAGTGTCTGGTGGTTTGTATTGTTTGTGCCTGTCGCCATTTAGACCAGGATAGGCTGAGGCCTCCTGCAACCAACGCTGCAGGTAGGCAACAGCACGACCCTTGCCATGCACCTTGTGCACAAAGACATACAACCTGCAGTTGACATGTCTGTCACACTGCACAAAAGCTCGCAACTGGCCGGAGGCATGGGTGTAATTGTCAAAATACACGTGGCAGCTCCGGCCATTCACGACGATGGCTCTGCTGCTTTCCTTGGGCATGTTCAACTGCAAGAGCTCCGGATCGGACGGAGGCACCTCGCTACCTGCTGCGACACCCGCAGCAGCAGCGGCCAGTACCTCGTATCCGTCCTCTTGCTCTGGGTCGTTGTCCAAGGCCCTGTCCACAGCATCCGTGGCACGTGCTTTGCGGGCGCCCGCAAACTTCTGCCTAATTTCTTCAGACGTCAACTTTGCCACTGCAGACAGGTCGGCCGAGCTCATGAGGTACTCATACTTCGAAGGCCCGTTGACCAAGATTCGCTGGAGGTTGCCCGGCTTCTGCCACAACAACACAGAAGTCAGCAAGCAGCGAAGATATGGCAACGGCATGCCAAGACCCTGAGCAGGCAACTCCGCAGTGGCATCACGGCAGTGCCACTCAAAGAACTCACTCTCGTCGTCGCAGCGGGGCTTCCACCCCTGTTTAAAAAGCAACCTGAAATATTCTATTTTGGATGTCAGGGCAACCTTTCCCCGGGTTAAGAAGAAGTGGCTCAATTCCCAGATCGCCAATGGTTCGGACCATGTGCATTCGGGCAGCAGCTGCAGGCTGCTGGTGATGCTCAAGGTCAAGTCGCCGAATGCCCCCTCTTCACCCGAAAGAATGCCATGTTGTTGCAGTCTCTGAACAGCAGCAGCATTGAATTCCGACAAATCATCCACCGAAACATAACGCCCTCCCAAAGCCCCGTGACGAAGAAGCTCATGCAACAGATCCTCCTCGGCCTTCAAGAGGACAATGGCTTCAGCAGAAATTCGTACACGATCCGGCTCGTGTTCGACGACCTGCATGTCGGCCTGCCTCCGCCGAAGCTGGTTGCTGAAGCTTGCGGCAGGCTCATGATCCTGGATGAAATCTGGGATGGGCACGAGGTCTGGTTGCCGGCATGCACCTGCAGTCAACACGTTCAAGCTGACGTCGGAAGCCTTCGGAGTCCAAACCCGGCACGAATGCATGAACACCTGCATCCGTGCTTGGTTACAGAAGCTCGCCAGCTCCAGAAACTCTTGCCTGTTCCCGCTGGACTGTACCCGCACTTCTGTGTCCGACAGAACTCGGACATGTGTGTGCAACATCACAAGTATGCTGCTTTTGCTGCGGCCCCGATCCGCCCGAACATCCTTCCGCTGCTCGGGTCGAGCATCCAGCACCGTGAAAAAGTACGGATCCAAGGAAACTGCTGGCACGACCATTTCTGTTCGCAAGCTCAGCCACAAGTCCTGAGACAGCATCTCCTTGCATGGCACATCTGCCTCCTCTTCCGGCTGCCTGGGTGTGTAGCGGAGGGCAAGCTGGAAGGCCTCCTCACCCAGCGACACCAGGCTGCCGTTCCGGAGATGGCTCTTCAGGAAGTGCACAATCTGATGAGGGGCTGGGTCCAGCTTCAACGGCACGGAGTCTTCCGTGCGGGCAGCAGCCGAGGCATCCAGCAACGCTTTTTGGTACACGGCCTGGGCAGTTGCCTCCTCGCTCGCGTCCATGAAGTGCTGGTCTGGGTGGTATGCATACACCTTCGCCAATCTCTGCACAACTGTCATTCGCCTGACTGTTTGCTTCGGCAAGCAATGCTCAAGCAGGTTTTCCCAGATCTGCCTATCACGCCAGTGTGCTACAAGAAACTGCAGCTGCTGGGGATCATCAATCATGGCCACGACCTGCTTCTCGCTTCCGGCTCGCAACAACCGCAGGGCCGGCATATCGCTGGCCTCTCCTCGCAGCATTGCGAATCTCGGAGTGCTGTCTCTCTGTGCCTCGCTCTGCGAGGCTGCAGAAAGAATACTCTTGCACCATGGTCCACGCCTCGGCATAATGGTGCAGGGGCAACTCCGAGTCTGCAAAAGCTTTCAGCTGCCGGCTTTCCAACGTCTGACCGGAAAAGGCTCCAAAGGACACTGCATCCACAAAACCACCACCTGTTGTCGCCTGGGAATACTGACGAAAGCCTTCCGAAATGGCGGCCTTGCAACGAGCCCAGGGGATGCCAGTGTACCCCCCATATGCTGCACAGAGCACCCAAGGGATGGTCTGTGCATATGCAAACTTCTGCTCGAGGACCACGCGAAGTTGCTCTGTCGCGAGTGCATCTATCGCCGTAACACGTGCTCGGACATCAGCCGGTGCAGCGAGCATCTCCGAGATGTACTCTGTGCGGGCCTGGTTTGTAAAGTACTGGATGAGGTCCGTCATCTTCCCGCAGGCCAGCTCTGGAAGCCTCTTCCCCTTCCAGCAACAAGTGGCAGATCCAGTTTCTTCCATCATTGTCTTTCGCCGTTTGGAGGCTGGCTGGGAAACCAATAAATCCTGATGACACGCACATCCCTCGATCCAATGTGCAAGCCGGGTTGCCGCCTCCGCGAACTTCCCAGCCCACACAACCATCCAGCCATGCATGCTATCTTCAAGGATCTCCGTGATCATGGCCGCACTATCACCAAATTCATGCGGCTTCCAGTGCCTCAGAAGCACCAACCGAAGAGGGGCCCACTGGCTCAGGACACGATGCAAACTGTCCCATCTCCATTCGAGGAGGTTGTCGCGGAAGCTATGCAACGCCTGCTTGTCTGCTGCTGTGCCCGCCCCCGCATCGAGCATCTTAACCTCGACTACTTCTTGGTAGCTGCGGGGTGTGAGAAGTCTGCACAATGTGTTCAACTGTTTGTGCAGTACGTCAAACTCAGGTACACTCTTCACTACAGCCTCCAGGGTGTTGAACACCACGTGCAAAGAACCAGGTATTTCCAAGGCTTCCGGAAAAAAAGGTAGTGCTCGCACCCTCTCATGTGCGGCGGCGGCGGCAGCTCCTGTGCCCCTGGCAAATCCCCGCACTGCCTCCCTGACGTTGGCTGCAGTATCTAAGGGGTATTTGCAGATCAACCGCTCCGTTCCCTGATCCGACAAGAAACCTCTCACTTCACCTCTATACTGTGGGAGAGCAACCGCTGTGTTCTCCAGGCATATGATGTGCAGAACTCGCATGGTCTTCAGAGCTGCCGAGCTCTGACCTCGAGCGATGGTGGTCACTACCATGGTCCTCCGTTCCACGGCGAACCCTCTCCACGGATCTACTTGCCCGCTTGCATCCACTGGCACACGATGGACACTGTCTCTAGTCATCAGTTCTTCTGTGACCAGGAAGTAGTCGTAGTTTGCTTGCGGACTGCTGTCTGCCGACAAAAACCTGACCGTTCTTCGATCTGGCTGGTTCGGCTTCGCGAAAACCCTCCGGCTCAAGCTGTGCAAACAATCCAGCTTCACGAGAATCGTTCGCACGTGGCTCTTGGAGGGATTCACGTCTTCTTGGTTCGTGTTCTCAGCCAGCACATCCATCATTCGAAGCACAGTTTGCACCACCTCAGCCACGGCCGCTGCGGAGCTCAAGGAATAGCAGAGTTTTCCCATCAGAATCTCGGTCATGGGGCGCCTTCGGATGGCCTTGCCTTTTGTCGAGACCTGCACATCCCAAAGAAGATCCGCTACATCGTCCCCTACACCGGCACCATCAGGAGCCTCTTCAGTGTCCCCTGCCTCAGCGGGGCCTGCAGTGTTTGCAGGCTGCAGAAGTAGGGATAGCACGGAAGGAGGCTGAGGCTCAGGAGGAGCAGACGGAGCAGACTCAGACTCTGCAATGGGCTCTTCGGAAAACGTCCGAAACCCCATGCTCCGACAAACCCCTTTAGGTACGGCAAGAACAAGTTCACGGGCTCTCAAACTGTCGAGAATTGCAACCGGCACCTTCCAAAAATTCACCGAGCGCCGAGGTCTCAACAATTCCTGCGGAGCCCCGCAGGCTCTCATATGCTGTCGGCAGAGTTCGGACACAGGCTGCTGTTGCACGATCTGCTTGCCGGGGAATGCATCTTGCTTTCGCAAAATGCACCGCCGGGCCGGGAAGTGAAACACATTGGCGACGTGCAGCTTACAAAATTGGCCGGCTGAACCTTTCCCAAGTTGCGAGTCCTGGGCTTCCCGGTCCCGTCGTCGCAAAGGTCGAGACATCCACGCATCTTGATGCGAAGCCAACTCACCGGCCGCACACGCATCCGGAGCACTCTGCAGCGACTCTGCGAACTCCACCAAGTAGTGGACCCCGAGACAGTGCACAGTTTCACCAGACACTTCTGCATCAGCTATGTCACTTGCACAAAACGGAACGAACACAGGCGGCTCACGCCGAGCACGAGCGGCATCCGCCTCGTTCTTTTTGTACTGCCGTCTTTTCTTGGTAGCTTCTGGTGTGCTGATTCGTTCCAAATCAGGCTCCATGCTTAAGGTGTTTCGGATTTAGGGTTTAAACAACGGTTTTGTGACGGTTCAGGGTTTAGGGTGTTTAGGGCCTAGGGTTTAGGGTTTTGTTGTAGTCGAGTAAAATACGGCTGCGACGTGACATCTGACGAGGGGCTGAACACACACATCACACACATCCCACAAAACAACATACCTCAAGACTTAAAAACACAACGCAAGCCACACAATTTTGTCGACCCTAGACTCAAACCCTAAAAGTTTCCAGTCCAATAACCGAAGTCACGTTTCGATATCAAATGCCTGTCCGGTGGCCCAAAATTTTCGGGTACGTGTGTAGATCAAAAAACACCATGTTTTCAGTGAACCCCCCCATGAGAATTACGCGAACCCCCTTTTTACCCCCCCCCCACGGCTGTAGATGAGAACTTCATACTCACAGGTGTCCCCTTAGCTTGCCGGACGTTGGCCGGCGCTGCTGCTGTAGCGAGCGAGGCAGCAACTCGAGCTAGCGGTCGGGGTCTTCGAATAGCATCCCCCACGTGCGGCTGGCCCTTCCCATCGGCCGCCTTTCCCTTAGCGTCCTTGCCCTTGCCTCGGCCTGGGCTTCTAGCCCTGCCCCTGCTCGGGCTTGTAGCGCGGGGGAAGGAAGTAGTAGCGGCCGGTGGCTGGCTCGGCCCGCCGTCCATGAACCTTCTAGCGGCTGCCTCGGCTGGCGTAGGGTCCAGCGTAGCAGTTGCGGTTGTAGCTGTGGGCACCGGATCGGTGCTTCCCGTAGCGCTAGCGGCCTCCTCTGCTGCCTGCAGGGAAGCTTTGCTAGCGGCGACCGCTCGCTGGAACTCCACCTCTTTAGCGAGCCGCTCTGCGGCTTCTCGCTTCTTCTCTGCTAGCGCGGCCGCAGCGACTTTCTGGTCGTGCTCGGCCTTTTTCTGCATAGCGATTTTAGCGGCTATTGCTTCAGCCTCCTTGCGGGCCTTAGCTTTGGCTTCGATAGCGGCCGCGTTGGCAGCAGCTAGCTGGTCCAGCTGCGACCTAGCTGTGGCGGCCGCGGCCTCAGTAGCGGCGAACTTCTGTGTGAGGTTCGCCGACATAACTGCGTCCAGACTAGCTATGTCATCCTGTGACAGGTCCGCCCAACATGTAGCGGAGAGCACCCGGCGCTCCAACATGTTAGCGGGGCTCTGCTGGCGGACCCCTGCCCCTAGCCACTTCCTGGGCGGGGCTTCTTTGTCTAGCGTCTCAATCGCATCCTGAGACATAGCGATGACAGGGGCTTTTCCAAGTAGCGGGGCAGGCCCTCGGCGCACTCCGTGGGCCGAAACCTTAGCGCCTTCCGCAGGCCGCGGAGGGTCTCCGGCAAGTCGTCGCCAGTAGCGGGCCCTGCGGCCGTAGCGGGGCCATCCGCTGGCCCTTTGCCTTTGGGCTGACTAGCAGTGGCATCTTTGCCCTTTCCTCCTGTTCCCTGGGTGGCCGAGAAAGGGGTCGCCCGGCCCCGGTTTCCTAGCGCCTGCCTTCCTCCTGGCTCCTCTTGCGAGACACTAGCGGCACACGCAAAACACAACAGAAGCAACACAGCAAGTGACATGTAGCAAGGACGTGGTTCTCTCCACTCTCTTCTTTCTCCTCCCCCCCCCCCCTACGCAAAACCCCCCCCTTCCCCCCCCGCACACCCCTGTTGCAGTAGCGGCGTTTCGCAAAGGAGGGGAGAGAGAGGAAGGGAGGAGAGAGGTTCCTAGGAGAAAGGTTCCGACCTAGCAGCCTTTCTGACCTCTCCGCGAGTTCGGCGGATTAGCACGCCCTTGCGCTTAAGGATGACTGCTAGCGGATCCTGTCGAGGGTTCACCCAGGGGCTCTTCATCTTCCGAGTTAGCGAACGAAGCCTCGCTAGCTTCTCCTTCGGAGATAGCCCCCTGGTTCGGCCAGCATAGCTTGCACACGTGTGTGTACTCATGTGGCTCCGGAACCGAGTCAAAGACCCTAGCGTTACGGAAAGCACGGCGCTTCCCCATCCAACATCCAGTAGCCCCTGCCTTATGCAGGCGAAAAATAGCACCCGGGACCTCTACGATTACATAGCTGCTCTGGTTGCGGTCGGGAACCACGGCCTGCTTCTTAGCGGGCCGTTCCGCGACTTCCTCTGAGGCGTCCGTGCTGGACCCTGCCCCTAGCGGTTCTCCGAGCTTGACCCTCTGGAACCTCTAGCTCGGCCGCCTCTTCGGGCGGGAACCCTAGCGGAGTCTCCATCCAGATCTTTCGCAGCCGCGCCGCCAAGCTAGCTTAGCGCGCTCCTCTAGCCAAGGCTCCAGATCTGCGGCAATTTCGCGCTCGTCTAGCGCCTCTTGGAGACGGGACACCCTACCCGCATAGGATCTAGCATACACGTCGGAGCCCTCGGGCTTCCAACCTCCTAGCAGATCCTTATCCTGCGGAGGGATCTCCTTTAGCGCTAGGGTTGTGTGGAGCACCGCGCGCTCACTGTGCTCCGTCCAGTAGCCTTGCACCTCCTGCGGGTAGCCCATGATAGCCAGCAGCCCGGCCGTCGCCACCATAGCGTCCGCATAGGTAGCGATCTTCCTTTCCAGCTGCCCTGCCCGACCCAGCCGAGGCATGAGGTAGTCCCGGGCATAGGTAGCGTGGGCTTTCAGGAGATCGAATCCAGTGGTAAGCCAGCTCTTAGCCACCAGAAAGGCGTGCTCCGACACCACGACCGGTAGCTCTTTGACCCTTCTCGTAGCACCGGAAGTCTTGGTCTTCCGGAGGATGGTGGTAAGGCGGCCTTCCACCATCGTTAGCTCAGCGGGTAAGATAGCCTGCAGGTCCGACCATCTTAGCGTGGCCCAGACCTTGACTAGCTTAGCCCAGGCCCAGACCCGCCAGCCCACAGCAAGCGAGGTGTTGACCACGATCAGATTATAGCTGCAAGAGCATGTAGACGGGATAGCGCGGGGCTCTCTTGGTCAAGGGGGATCCCTCGGCTAGCGTCTCCACAATGCTGTCTTTAGCGGCCCAGACCAGGCGACCAAAGGTGGTCCGTAGCTCGACTGGGAAATCCGCCTTGTGAATAGCTTCCGGAACCGACCTACCGCATGGTTCGTCACTCCTAGCGAGGAGGTAGTCCACCAGATCCGCAGCGGTGCCCGGAGGCGGCCTGAGCTTAGCAGCGTGGAGCCATTGGCGCCACTGCCTGTAATAGCTCAGGTAGCGCTTCAAGGTAGATGCTCGGGTCCTTCCCATAGCGGCCCGTACGGGGTCCAGGCTCCCGTGCAGCTTAGCGAGAATGGGCGCATGGATCTCTAGCAGCTCCTCGTAGAGCTTCTTCGCCCAGACTTCCAGCCAGGTGATGTCGTCCTGGAAGTAGCCATGCAACCTTTGGTAAAGGATAGCTTCCTGCCGTGCTTCTTGCAACCAGCAGTAAACCCCATCCCATAGCCATGGCTGGTAAGGGATGCCCAGTTCTCGGGCTAGCTGCCTGGCAACGTCCTCTGCTTCGTCCAGGTCTACCATTGCTAGCTCCAGAACCCCAAACCCCTGGCTGACGGTAGGCCTGGTCTAGCGTGCGCCTACGTTCCTGCTGGACCGTAGCCTGCGCATCTAGCTCCGCCTCCACCTCCCAGCCCCCAAAGAGTACATCAGAAGGGATATTAGCAGGGGTCTCCGGGACCCACGAGGGTACCTCCCCGGAGGGAGCCCCCGTGGTATCGTCCCCCCCTGGCAACGTGGGAACCTCAGTTGGACACGAAGAACTTAGCGGAGGCGGGGAATCTCCAACCACAGTAGCGCAGTCGACGGCTGTAGCAGCTGCACCATCTGGCGTGGTCGGCGCCAGGGTAGCGTCGCTGTCCGACATGGCAGCGACCCCAAAGCAGGGCTTATTAGCCCTGTTCCCCTTCCTACCCCCACTCGAAAATTGCCCCCCAGTAGCTGGGGGCCTTGAGCCAAAATGGCCACGGAGTAGCACACTCTCCACCGGCCAAGTGCAGTCACTCTAGCAAACAGACAGGCTTCGTTCTGTTTAGCTTCAGAGGAAAACCCCTTCGACGTTTTCTAGCGAAACACCTTCGATGTTTCAGACAAGGATACTAGCGCTAGCATACACGGTCGTACCTCGTCCCTCGGCACGAGTGCATCTCCGGCATGCCGAAAGACAGTGGACAGACGTAGCGGACTGCCTCTGTGATCCTCAGAATCGGAGATTGTCTGCGTTAAAAGCGAGGGCAACACGTGATCTTCAAGTCCGGAGTCCCAAGAAGACTAAGTACTACCAGGAATTGTTTGCCCTGTCCTCTGCAGAAGCCAAGGTTGTTGCCGAGGTCTATAATCCTAGCAGATTTTCTAGTCGTGCCAAGAAGTTCCGACTACGACCCGGACAGGCGTTTGATCTTGAGCTAGGACACGATCTGTTGCAGAAGTCGGTGCAGCATTCAGTTCTGACGTATATCAAGCAAGAGCGACCAGGACTTGTGGTGATCTCTCCGCCCTGCGAGGCCTTCAGCTTGCTCAACCGACTTCTAGACAACTTCCGGAAGACCAATGTAGCAGCAATGAAGAGACACCTCGCTAAGGTGAAGCGGGGGAAGATCCTCCTTAACTTTGCTATGGAAGTTTGTCAGGTTTGTCATGAGCAAGGCACCACTTTTGTTTTCGAGCATCCCCGCGGAGCCTCTTCATGGAATATGCCCTCCGTGCAGCGCCTCCTTCGCCAGGTCGGTGTGTTCCTGGCCTTGACTGACCAATGCGTCTTCGGGCTGGCCAACAGCCGCGGCGAGCTGCACAAGAAGCCGACCGGGTTCGTGACGAACAACCGGACGGTTGCGGAGGCATTGTCCAAGAGATGTGCCAAGGGCCACCATCATGCGTGGATCTGGGGAAGCAAAGCTGTCTCCCAAAGGGCCCAGGTCTATCCCCCGGGCCTCGTTGATGCGATCCTTGAGAGCTACTCCAGATCGATTGGAAAGGCTCCCCAAGAAATTCGGAGATGCCGCGCCGCTACCGTGATCACTGAAGATCAGCGGCACAACGTGAACTACTTTGAAGCGGCCGAGCTGCAGGAGATCGAGGAGCAGCTCAACACCGAGCTCAGCGAGTGCGAGATCTTGGCGGGTGAAGAAGTTCGAGAAGCCGAAGACCTACTGGAGGAGATGAAACCGGAAGCCCTCGGAGTGACCGAGGATCTCCTTGATGGAACCGGCTGGAAGCAGATCCGAGCCACGAAGAGATGGATCTACGTCGGGGAGAACGAGCCGGAGATTGCGACCCCGCCGTCAGACGGGGAAGCTTGGAAGCTACCATGGCGATCCACCTGGAGCCGCCAAAACGGCAGATGGGTCATTCTGGAAGATGAGATCCGTTGGCAGCACGACCTACCTGAGCGTCTACCAGGCCCGCCTGGACCAAAGAGCGGACAAGAAGATGAGACATTTTCCGGGAATGGCCAAGGTCACCCTGGAGAAGATGATTCGAAGGGCTCACGAAGGCCTTGGTCACCCAGAGCACAGTCGGTTCATGCGTATCCTTCGGCAATCGAATGCGTCTGAAGAGGTTCTAGAAGCGGCACAACGGTTCCAGTGTTCCACTTGCCAGGCCTATCGACTACCAGACCCAGTTCGGAAAGGCGCTCCCCCCAAGGAAGAGCTGTTCATCAACGAGAAAGTAGGCATAGACACCGTTCATCTTCGGGATCATAACAATTAATGAAGCGATTCCTTCCTTGAACATCATCGATTTTCATACGCACTTCCAACTTGTGATCCCCATGGCAGCCGAATCAGCAAGTGAAGTTCGTAAGGCTTATCGTCAGTGGGTACGGTTCTTTGGAGGCCCAAGGAAAGTGCTCTATGATCTCGGTACCGAGTTCAAAGCCGATTTCCGTCGCCAGGTGGAAAACGACGGCAGCGAAGCACTGCCGAGCTCCTTGGAGACTCCGACACAGCGAGGCCTGACAGAACGAGCCGGAGGGGTTTTCAAGGACATCCTCTACAAATCGATGATAGACTACAAGTGCCAAAGTAGGGAGGAATGGAGAGCACTAGTTGATATTGCGTGTATGACACGAAATCGACTATTGCTGAGGGGCGGATACTCACCGATCCAAAGAGTCATTGGATATACACCTCGCCTTCCTGGCGGTCTTCTCACCGGTGGCGAAGACGATCATACCGCTGCAAATAGGATGATGATGGGTGATAAGGATGTTGTTCGATCGATGAAGATGAGAAAGGCGACAGCGGTTGCATTTCATGCTGCCGATTGTGATCAAGCCTTGAGAGCAGCAGCCTTAGCCGGGCCACGCAAGGTGCCCGACTTCGAAGTGGGCCAAGCAGTCTACTTTTGGCGCCGAGGCGCCGGGAGCACCAAGAAGACCAGGCAATCTTATTGGGCCGGTCCAGGGCGTGTAGTGATGACTTCGATGCCGAATGCTGTCTGGATTGCATACACCAACACGCTCATCAAAGCCTCCCCTGAGAGAGTTCGGCATGCGTCTGCTGAAGAGAACCTTTCAGTCTCCGGGTGGCTCCGTGGTATTTCGCAAACACGTCAAGACTTCGAGAAGCTCCCCAAGAAAGGATTCATAGATTTAACAGACGATCCCGCCGGTGATCCAGAAACACTTCAAGAACATGCAGGTAGAGAAGCCGAAGAAGACGGAAGCGTTCCCGAAGTACCTCCTGAACGACCCCGAGAAGACGCCCCACTACGTAGAGTACGACAGAAGACTTCTGCCTATCATGAATCTCGACGTAGTCCTGAAGAAGAAGTTGTTCCCGAACCCCAACCAGCTCAAGAACCTCAAGCTCCCGGAGAAGCTCCTGTAGAAGACGACCTCGAACCTCCTGACCTTAACCTTCTCCCGCCAGGTCTCTTCGACGCCGACAATGACATCGAGATCGACGGGAACACGCCGGAAGAGGAGCAGGTAGTCGAACAGGGTTTGGAGGCTTCAGGTTCAGGGTTGAAAAGGGAAGCAGAAGGGGCGGAAGATCCGCCCGGCAAGCGAAGCAGGGCCCACTTGATCGAGGTCTACAACCTTCATCTTCAGGGTCTTGCCAAACAGCGTCAGAAGAAAGAAGCCAAAGTTAGTGACTTCAAGGGCAAGGACTTTGCAAAGTTGCAGACGGCGATCCTCAAGGAGATCAACAATAACTTAGGTACGCAGGCCTATGAAATACTTAGCCGAGCCGAGTCCTCCAAAATCGAAAAGCAGAAGCCAGAGAAGATCATGGAATCCCGCTACGTGATCACCAAGAAACCATTAGAACCCGCCGAGGTCAGCAAAGCTGAGAGCGAAGGGGTCCTTCTCGAGGACCGCGAACACGGACCGTGTAAGGCAAAGTGTCGGCATGTGATGAAGGGCTACTCAGAAGAATCTGCGTTGGATGTGGAGTTCACAACCCCACAAATCACCAGGGACTCGGTTGTGTTTATCCTTCAGATGCTTGCCAGTTTCAAGTGGATGCCGGGTTTTCTTGATTTCACGCAAGCTTTTCATTCTGGCGACAAGATTGACAGAGAGTTATATTGTCGTCAACCTCGAGAGGGAATACCGGGCGCTCATCCAGAGCAGTTGCTTCGACTGCTCAAGACCTGCTACGGGTTGACAGATGGGCCACTCGCGTGGTATCGTCATCTGGCCAAGCGATTGAAGAAGCCAGGGTACGAAACTAGCAAAGCCGATCCTTGTGTGTTCTTTCTTCGGGGAAGCGAGGCAACAGGGTCCAAGTTGGAGGGGATCATTGGAGTTGCTACTGACGATCTTCTTCATGGCGGCAACGAAAGGCACTGGAAGAACATCGAAACCATTGCCAAGGAGTATAAGCTCGGAAAGAACCAGAAGGGATTTGGCAGGTTTACGGGAAAAGATATCGCCTACCAGAGCGACGGGTCCATCACCATGAACCAGAAGTTTTATGTTGAAGACAAGGTTCAGACCATCCCTCTTGATAGGAAGCGTAAACAGCAGCGGTACTCAAAGTGCTCCACATCAGAGATTGAGTCATTGAGAAGTTCACTTGGTGTTTTGTCCTGGCTGGCAAAAGAAACCCGATGTGACCTGGCAGGGCGTGTAGCCCTGCTACAGCAAGCCTTCCCCGAGCCGCAGGTGAAGGACTTGATCGAGGCCAACCGGATCAGCGAGGAGGCACGGAAGTTCAGTGAGATCGGCATAAAGGTTATGCCGATTCCGGTCGAGAATCTCAGGGTTTCGGTCGTTACGGATGCAGCATGGGGAAACTCAAAGGAGCAACCGTGGATTGAGGACCACTCAGAAGATTTCTGGGAGGAAACCGAGGAATCCTGGATTCGACATCATGTGCATCCTCGGCGGACGACCTTTCATCCTGGGGCCTCGCCCGATGGCCCAGATCTGGTGGAGCTCCGGGTCACCACCAAGTTCAATGAGCAGACCGACAAGACGGTCCAGAAGGAGATCATCGAGGACAAGTGGTCGGATGCCAATGGCATTCGGGTTCTTCAGAAGGAGACATGGACCGGAACCAGCTGCTTCCCCAAGTCCAAGAGCGGAAAGCTTCCCGCAGCCAAAGTCCACTCAAGTCTGACCCAACTTCAGAACTTGAGCAGCCAAGGAGGTCAAATCGTGATCTACCACGACAAGGGTCTCTCGGAGTCAGAGACCCCAGCTATGACAACGGTGGCAGCATGGAAATCCTACCGCCTCAAGAGGAAGCCTCTTCATGGAAGCGCTCTTCGGCGACCTCTCCGTGAGTGATTGGCGTTCTGTGGCCGGTCGGCTACCGTTTCTAGCGGCAGTCGACTCCAAGTCTTTGTATGATGCAGTGATAAGTGCGCCTGTACAGCATCTTATGTAAGCGATAAGCGCACTGCCATAGATTTGGCGGTGATCAAGTCGGATCTTGCGGAGACCAGCGGCAAGATTCGCTGGATCGATACACGATCAATGATTTCAGATCCGCTGACAAAGCAGCATCCGGGCACATATCTGAGATACGTGCTCAAGCATGGTTTTTGGTCGGTAATGGAAGAATGTCATGCCTTGCAAGCAAAGGCACTAGAACGAGAGGCCAAGAAGGCCCATGAAAGCTTCTTCCTTACGGTTTGGGAATATAGAGTTTGACCGGTGTGTTTTCTGTTTCGAGGATTCCCAAACCGTACGCCGACTGCTGTGCAGGATCATGAAGCACGACCGCCACATCCGTGGCTCAAGCTGCGCACGAAGCAAAAGGCCAATGTCATGATTTGGGGCTGCCACTGTGTTGCTATCCAACACACAAGAGTTGAGCTTGTCATTAGCGGCGACGGACCTGGGCACAGCAGGAGTTTACGTTGCGCGACTGATTGACTGGATCACTCAGCAGCAGAAGTCGGATGCATTGTTTTGACACTCACTGTGAAAGTCACACAGGCTGTGAAGGCTGAAGGGGCAATCCCAAAATGCAGATGTGACACTCACGCTGTGAGGGCTGAAGGGCAATTCCAAAATGCAGAGCTGGGCCTACAGGGGTGCTCATTATATTGTTCTCTTGAGGTCAGCAAGCCAAAGACTTCTAGGATATTGAGGGCTTGGGTTGTGTACATGCTATTCGAATCGAAAACATGGAAGCTGGAAAACGGCCCTGTTTGCCCCCTGACTGAGTCGGCACGTCTGGCGCATGGCTCTCTTCGCCTAGCCCTGTCACTCTCGACGAGAGGCTTCTTAGCACTGTCACTCTTTCGCCCAAAGGTAGAATAATAAGAGCGGCGCGGAGTGTCACAGTCTCGACCAGGCTTCCTAGCACTGTCACTCTCTTGCCTCGAGGTAGAAGAACGGCGCAGAGTGTGACGGCCTCGACCAGGCTTCTGAGCACTGTCACCCTCTTGCCTCGATGTAGAAGAGTGGCGCAGAGTGTGACGGTCTCGACGAGGCTTCCTAGCACTGTCGCCCTCATGCGTCGAGGTAGAAGAGTGGCGCGGAGGGTCTTGACGAGGCTTCCTGGCACTGTCACCCTCTTGCCTCAAGGCAGAAGAGCGGCGCAAAGTCGAGGCCGAGGGCGCCGACGGAGTCGAGGTTGAGGGTGCTGAGGGCGCCGACGGCTCCGAGTGCCAAAACACATTGTCATCATCGGAGAAGTAAGTCCACACCCTGGTCCTCGATGTCAGAGACAAGCTCCTCCACCACTGTTTCATCTGTGGTCTCGCCCCTCTCACGCCGCCACTCCTTCACCTTCATGTCCCACTCACGGCACTTGGCTTTCCAGCGGCGGTGGTATGCAGCTTCCCAGTCCCGTTGTTCACGATCTCTTTCCTCAAGCTGCCTTCTCACAGACTCCGTCAGGAAAATCGGAGAGCCGAACATTGACATGATTTCACACTCAGTCAGTTTGAGCCGAAACCGCTCGGTCAAGCACTTTAGCACTCGGAGCTTCCGAAAGGCCCTCCAAGCCCACGATAAAAGTTACTGGCAGGTGCGACACACACCGCAGTAGCAGTAGCAGTAGCAGTAGCAGTAGCAGTAGCAGTAGCAGTAGCAGTAGCAGTAGCAGTAGCAGTAGCAGCAGCAGCAGCAGCAGCAGCAGCAGCAGTAGCAGTAGCAGTAGCAGTAGCAGTAGCAGTAGCAGTAGCAGTAGCAGTAGCAGTAGCAGTAGCGATAGCAGTAGCATTCATTCCTCACGCAGCGAAGAATCCGATTCGCCTAGCGAGCTGACTACATTCACGGTTTCATGAATGCAGGAGCCTCAGGTGGACTCTGAAGGGCCATTGGCCTGCTTCATCCTTGATCTTCTACTCTCTACTTTACTTTTCGCCACTTCTCACATCTGAGATGTCGCTCGAGTGTCATCTCTTGTCTCCTTCCGAAGCCAGAGTAAGTACATCACATCAGCATACTGCGAGGGCTCAACTGGCTGTGCCACATGGTTATCATCCGTGATCCATAGGCGTCGCGCTGCAAATGCATTTTGCCCATACAGCAAGGTGCGATAGTGGCCCGTGGTCGGCACATCGCCAAAATGAAGTTGAGCAGCTGTAACCTGGTACCGAATCCACTGTACTTGCATGCTATGGTCTTCCACAAACACAGGCAGACAGATCCCATCACGAAACCCCACAAGCGCACGACCGTCTCTGGCAATGGTCCCCCCCAGATTCCTGTATCTCATCAGCTGTAAGCACACAATTTGTGCCGCACGTTTCAGTGCAAACTTGGCAGTTACCTGAGCACACCACCCCTCCACGGACTGCTGAAGGTGAATAACATCGCCTTCATTCGGAACAATGGCAAGGGGTTGTCCCAGCGGTCCAGAGTCAAGGGTAGTGACTCCGTGAAGCGCGTAGTTGCGAGCCTCCCAGCATCCATGCATACCCATGTCTCCAAGCCTAGGCAGCAAGTATGTGGCAAGCTCTGCAGCATCGTGTTGGTGATGCACATTACGCCATGCCTGAAGCAGGACACTCCAGGGCAGGAGTTGCAAAACCTTGACAGCAGGATGTACAGCAGTCCGGCTAGGTGAGCACAGCATACTGAGGGCCGGTACCGGCATCGGGAAGGTGCCGGAATGGAGACGAGCCTGTAGGTGTGTCCATAGGATGGCATAAATGGTTGAGTGGAGGTAGCACAGATTGGAGGGGTTCTGGAATTGGGCTGCGAGGAGACGTTTAAGCCGAGGAACCATTTCTAGGTCTGATGCCATTGCTGCGCTGCCGTCTGCTGGTTCCAGACCTCTTGAACAAGGTTGTCGTAGACTGGACGATCCTTCCTCAATCTGCAGCCCAGAGTGTGCCATGCCGCCTGTCCGATCCACTGTGTCAGAGTGCTCCATAGAGCTCCGCCTTCCTGCCTCATCGAAAGGATAATCTGAAACTGGATCCATTCCGAAGTGACTTCCGGAGTCAGTCTCCGAACTGACTTGAACCGTAGCAGGGACTCCTCGTTCACGGCCTTTCGGACATTGACTAGTTGGGCCAGCAGATCCGAGGTGGGGATCGGACGAAGGGTGGCGTCCACTTCCAATGCCTGGGTCGTAGCATTCCACTTCAAATGTTTCCATTGTTGTTGATCGTCTATCCAGCCCAGTTTCTGTGCTCTTGCCATAGCCTCCGCATCCTTGGCCGTCTCCGTGAGCCTCTGATGAAAGGTGATGAGCAATTGCTTCAACATCACTAATTTTAAGGAATAAGTGATCTTCTCGGGCGATTCCTCCTTCATGGTTCTCCACTTGTCGGCTGTGTCGCACAACACGGGGATCATGCCCTCCGGGCCCGACCTGATGAAGAGGTGCAGCACCATGTCCTGCTTCAGCGCCGTGATCATCTGCTCCTGTCTGAGAACAAGCTGAGTTAGCTTGGACACGCGTTGCTCCATCCATTCCATCTCGGAGCCTGTCGGATCTGCCAAGTCCTTGGTGGTGCTCCACGGACTGTCCAGCTCGAGCCCCGAACCACCTGTGTAAGCCCAGCTGGCTGCCGTGTTCTGAGCCTTGGGTAGAGGCGTGCCCCCCTTCCCTTTGCCCTTGGACTTGCCTTTCCCGTCGCTCTTGCCTTTGCCCTTGTTCTGGTTGCCCAGTCTCTGTCTCTTGTTGAACGTCTGGTCTGGGCGGTTCTCCTCCGTCTCCCTCTTTACCGGTCCTGCTTGGCTCCAAAAGAGCTTTTCCTGGGCGTCCAGGTCCATGGGGTCTTCCCTCTGTCCTGTCATACCTAACTTTAAGGAAGGCACAGATATGCAGAACGTGGCACTGTTTCCAATGTCTGTCTTTGTTGATGTTGCTGCTTGCAGTATCGACATGGCATGACTGTGCGCCGACGAAACCCCGTGAGAAGCTTGAGCGCAGCAGGCTGACAGTCCGTCCATTCGGGGTGCTGCTTCGTCAGATGATACTTGATACTGGTGGTGGCAGCTAGCCATTGAAAACAGAGATGGCAGTGATGCTGCAGGTAATCCTGGATGTCATGTTTGAGCAGTAACTCCGTCCACTGCTTGTTGCCTAAGGTCTCTCGTACCTCGGGCCGGTCACATAAAGGTATAGAGCGAGAGGCAGGGAGATCAAACTCTGAGATCGCTGCAGGAGGGGCATTCGTTGTCGGTGGTGCGTCGGAGGCCGGTGGTACACTACCTATAGAAGCTGGCTCCGGGGCCAGGTGATGTGCCGTGTCCGGAGGTTCGCAAGAGGGCACCTGCGTGGTCGCAGAGAGAGGAGGTTGTTGGTCAGCTGCACCACGTCGTAGGACCTGACATCGGTTACGTTTTATGTGTTTCACTAGTCCGTCCCATTGACGAAAAGCGTGGCGACAATGCCTGCAGGTGGGCAGGCCCTCCAGTCCATGATCGTACCTATTGAAGGGGCCATTCGCGGGGACTGGTGTTTTCTTGGCATGATGGGTGGCCTCATGCGAGCGAAGAAGCCGGAAGGACTTGAAGGTCCTTTGGCACTCTGCACATTGGTGAGCTGCATATACATCTCCCCCTTCGTCCTCCGGCTTGGTCCATTGTTGCTGAACTTGGACACGGAGTGCAACAGCGGTCTGCCTGGCAGTATCTAGATGCTCCTCCGACAGGAAATCCGCAGGTTGAAGTCGGGCGAGGCCTCTGTGCAAGACATGCGCCTCCCGTTGGAGGCACTCAAGGGCCGTGGGTTGCGAGCATCTGGAGAGCAGGGCCTGGGTGGACTCATGTTGCATATGTGCGAACGACTTGGTGATGGCTCGGAGATGCTTTGTGATCATGTGCTGCATCCTGTGTATGTCCTTTTCCTCTGGGCTCGAGGCAGCGATGCCGTAGAGCATCGTTGGGAGTACTGTCGTGCGCTACAGCTGAAGTCGCTCGGACAGTTCGAGGTGCCTGGTAGAGCACAAAACCCCCCTTAATCTTTGCCATGCCTGATTCGCAGCTTGAAGTCGACTCGCAACAGCACAACGAGAGGGAGAGTGATATGATATCTTGATCCCAAGGTATGTGTGTTGCTCCCGAATGGGGATTTCATACACGTATCCCTCAGGACTCCGTAGGCGTAGCACATTGCCATCCTTCTTCTGGATCAAATGCCTACGCAACCACGCTTTGATGAAACTGCCTCTGTGTCGAAGGAGTATCGCAGACTTGGCAAGGTTGATTACCATACCATTGGCCCGAAGGGCATCCAGAATGGAACAGAACCTATGTACCATACGGTCTAGCCCGAGCACCGAGGATACCGTGTCCTTAAGGTGGATGTCGTCGGCGTAGATCGTGGAGTTTTCACACATCCAGTCGTGGTTGAGAAGAGGATCTTCCCTGGCCTGAAGATCCCGATAGATCTGTGCTAGGGATAATATCCAGAGCAACGGAGCTAGCTTACACCCTTGCCTGAGTCCTTGTTGGGCTTGTACTTTGGCGGTCAAGCCTAGGTGGGTGATCACGTAGGTGATCTCCGCATACCACGACAGAATTTGGTTTTTGAGTTCCACAGGGACACCTGCGGAGGTTAGGGCCCTTGCCAGCAGTCGCCAGTCCAATAAGTCAAAAGCGCCCGTCAGGTCGAGCGACAATTGAATTCCTGCGAAATGAGCGAGCTGCTTGGGAAGTTGTGCGTGCCGATCCACCACGGTGGGGGTAGAATATGAGCACTTTCGCTGCACCTGGCTGCAATGAAGCACGACTCTTTGGATCGCCTGCGCAGCACTGCGTCCCGGCATGTATGCAAATTGTGGAGCGTGCCTCAAAAACTCCGCAACAAATGGCTTAAGTTGGGCCTGGAGAATGGCCGCATAGGCCCGTCCGCTTGATTCCGTGAGCCCTATGGGCCTCAGGTTCTTGGGGGATAATGGTCGTGGAATCTTCGGGATTAAAGCCAGCCATGCCGTTCGCCACATCTCCGGAATCTGAGTCCATTGCTTGGTCCATGTGCACAGTGTCGGAGATACGAGGTCTGCTGTGGCCTTCCATAACACGTTGGTTGCCAGGCCCGGGGGGTGTCTTTATGCGATGAAAGGCTGGCCAAGGCTTTGGTCATATCAGCCTCGGAGACCTCGATGTTGATGGCAGCACGTGGTGGGCCTGCAATATTGGGGTCAGCATCCGTAGCATACAGAGCTCGGTAGTGCTTCGTCAGTTGAGCCAGCTGCGTGCTGGGATCCTGCAGTTGACCCTGGGGGTCTCGGAGTTGCACCTTGACTTGTGACTTCTTAGGTGCTACTGTTCGTAGGCCCGCGTAGAGGGCTCTGGAGTCACCGATATTTGCAGCATGTTGTAAGTCCGTGAGTCGACTACTGTATGGAACCAGGCCTTTTTGGCTGCCTTGCCAGCTTTCTTGAAGTCCTTGTGTGCCGTCTTGTAAAGGTGAAAGTACCTGGAAATGCGAAGGACGTCAGCCGGGTTCTGCTGCTTGGCCTGCTTCCAAGTACGGTACGCTTGCCACATGGCCTTGATGCCATTTCGCATGGTCGGAGTCTGCCATATCGCAAGTCGATGTTGTCCTGTGGTAGGCGGAAAGACTCGCTTCGCACACTGCTTGAGGGCAGCATGCATTTGTTCCAGGTTGGTTACGGCAGGAAGCGCCTGTAGGAGCAAGGTCCGCAACTGTGCAATACGAGGGTCTGACAAGTCGGAGCTGGCCTGAACAAGGCTCCAGTGGTCCCACTCTCGCGGTGTGGGAGACGGCTTGTTCAGGGTATGAAATCGAGTAAGCGGCAGGCTCGCCTTTACCGGTAGGTGGTATCCTCCGAGTCTCCAGGCAGCTAGCCCGAGGTTAATCGGCCTTGCTTGTTTCGCCCGATCGTCAGCTTGCAGGTGTCGCATGAAGACATGATCGATAAGACTGGTACCCTTCGCATGATGATACGTCGGTCCCGCTGACCTGCACCAGGAATTTAAGTGACAAAGGGAGAAATCTTCGATCAGGGCTTGTAGACGAGCCTGGTCTGATGGTCCAGGGCTAGAGGACTGACCTGTCGCAATCCGGACTCCCGCTGCACCGCTTGGCTTCAATGGAGTGTTACAATCTCCAAGCATGATGAGCGTGTTGCGGGCTGGAAGCCTCTGAAGTTGGGCTCGGATGGAGTTCCAGACGTCGGACCGGATCTCCCGGGCTTCCTTTACTGCTTTCGGATGCGAGTTGTACGCTTTTTGATAGATGTGCAGTATGTCGGCAGTCCACTGGGGGTGGATGAGGCGGAGATGTTGCAATCTTCCCGGTTGCGGGTCCGCGTAGACAATTTGGCAACCTCGGGCCAAAGACTTATCTACTAAGACCAGGAGTCCTGCGGACTTGTTGTCCGTGGTTGGGGAAGTGAAAATCTCCCAGTCAGCTGTCTTGAACGCGGGTGCAACAACACTGGACCAATGTGTTTCCTGCACACAGACTATTTGTGGTCGATCAGGCACAGGCATGTTCTCCAGGGTCAGGAGGAGCTCTTGCCAGAGAGCTTGTGTGAGGCCGCCTGCGTTCCAGGAGAGTGTGAGAAGCCGACGCTGAGCCCGCTGCAGATAGTACTGCTGCGCCTTTTTGGATGCAGCAGGGGCTGTCTTCCCACCTCGATATCCGTGACATAACTGCTGCAGCGAGCAGACCCTGCCCCGGTAGAAGGTGTGCTGGTCTCCACTTTGAGCCGCACGTCGAACCGCCCGCTTGTACGATCTCTTCCTGGCAGCACCATAGACTGCATGGTGTGTGGGTGTTGGTAGAGAATCAGGCAGCTGAAGGGCACCTGGAGGCACCACGCTGGGGGCACCACGTGCCACACCTAGCATGAGTGAAGATAGAATCGGCAGCAGGCCACATCGGGACCTCTTAGCAACTGGCCGGCGTGTGGGCGGCGAAGAGGCAGCATGGTAGGCCAGTTCACGAGTGGCCTGTGAGCATGGGGTGCCACGTGTTAGGAGGCGACGGCGGCTCGAAGACTCCACCGTCAGGCTGGGTTGTAAGTTCGGCCTCCCGGTATGGTAACATGGAAGGGCAAGGTAGTTGAATGCTGGAGCCCGCAGATACATCAATCGCAATGGTATTCTGTCCTTGCAATGAAAACGGTACCTAGACGCATGCAGCCACCCGGGATGTAGTATCCACAAGAAAAGACATTGTCGGCCATTTTGATAGCCGCAGTTGGCAATGTAGCCTGCCTCGGGCTTCCATTCCCCCCGGCAGGTGTCCAGGTGGGAACACCAGGGAAGGAGCAGTGTTTCTGAGTGCTCCGTGACGTGTGTATCCGTGAGAAGACACATAGGTATGTGTGGGGAGTCCCGTGGGACAGTCCCCACGGTAGAGAGTAGGATGGGGTGCTCCTGCCATGGCTTCCCGTCTCCAGTCAAAAAGACCAGATTCGGTCTCGAGAGCGGGTGGCGCTCGCTCTCACCCTAACCGGCTGTTCGTGTGCCCTCTTGTTGGGCGCTGAGCGACTGCTTATAAGAAGGTGATCAGCCGTACTCTGCAGTCGGCCTCCGGAATTGGGACCGGAGAGGCTCCTGTAAACATATGAATGGTCAGATTGTGGTTCATTTTTGTGGCGAGATCCATATAGACAAATGTTCACTCGCTGGGCAGTCTCTCCCTTCGCTCTCGAAGCTTGGCTAGTCCATGGCATCCAGGTCAATAGTCTTGGGTTCGACAGTGGCCTTGAACGGGGGCCCCTTGCCTGGTACAGGGGACCTAATCTTGTTGAAATTGAACCTGGGGCTGACTTAACTGCGGCTTCGAGAGGGCGTGCACTGCCGATACTGAAGTCGGCACCACTCACATCGAGGGTCCGCCAGGCGAAAAGCCAGACGAGTTCCCGGTAGGTCCTGCGCTCAGGGATGTGGGGAGGTGACAGAGGAGGAGCACATATATGGGGCCACCAGTGCCTCATGCATACCTGGCTAAGATTGAGGTGGAGCAGGTAACGCCGCCCCCTATTCTCAGCTCCGATCTCTAGGGTTCCGACCGGCTGTAGAGTCTGGGCTGACGAAGGTAGATCGTCCACCGGGAAGATTTCCGCACCGGGGCGAGCTTGCCGCAGACACACAAAGCATGATTCGAGTGGACCTGCCTGGTAGGCGTCGGGCCACCCCTGCCGCAGAGACCACTCCAGCAAGTCTGGGATGTACATACATGACACACAAGGTAGGATCACACCTGTTGCCAGTGGAGCAGGCAAACCTGTGTCGCGTGAATCTTCGCATAGACGGAAAGTTTCCAAGCGCACGCATCTCGGAGTATCCACCAGCCCGGCCGGCATCGAGGATGGGGTCCGAGTCGGTAATTCGAGACCTGTGTCGGGAAGTAGCAGCACACTGCAAGGACGATAGAGGTCACCAGCGACCATGAGGGCCTGCCAAAATCCTGGCATGTGTTCTGGCATCTTGTGTGTCCACGGTAGGGGACCTGATGTGCAATGACAGTAGGGCCATTGTTCCCAGGCTAAGCATGAGCACCGGACTTCTGCTGTGGCTGTTGCGGACCACCTCCAGTTGAGCCAGGCTCCAGGATCTATAGAGAGGTGCACAGATATGAGGCACCAACCCGGGTCCGTAGCTGCGCCTTGAAAGTGCATCACATGAGACCTGGGCGAGGGCAAAGGCGGAAGGGAGATCTGGCAGAGTGCTGCAGAATAGCATAGCACAGGCTGGCATCGCTGGGCACTGCAGGTGCACATGTATGATTCCGCAGCTTCAGGAAGTTCGGGCGTCGAGGCAGGTGGGACCTTCGGCCCGACCGCTGCTCGGTTTTTCCGAGAGATCTGAATCAACTTCCCCATCATTCTAGCCTTGGCCGTAGCAGTCCTAGCCTTAGGCTTTGGAGGGGACCGCCGGCGTGGAGGCGGAAGCGGATCATCCACGTCACCGAGACCAAACCAAATGGACCGCTAGGCTTGGGTTTAGGTGGGTCCTGGGTGACCTCTGGTGTCCGAGCGGCTTTGGCCGGCTTGGCATCCGCGGTGGCGGTGTCCCTTTGCGAGAAGAGCCGGCCTTTGTGCTGTTCCTCAGACCGGGGCTTCCTGGTAGTGGTGGTAGTTCCATCCAGTCGATGGGAGGCAGCGACAGCACCCGCAGATTTGAGGAGCAGGTTCCCAGACTGTATCTGCCAGGCCGCCTCATAGGGATCCTCAGAGTCATTCTGGGAGGACAGCTGTGCAGGTGGCTTGGACTGCTCAGCTGGTTCAGAGGCAGGAGGTCGGGAAGAGGTAGCCCGCTCTGATCGAGGTCCGCGATGCTTGGGTGTCGGCTTCATACGTCCTCGGTCATCCACTTCTACCGCATGAGGAGTGCGACCCGGTGGTGGGCTAGGAGTTCGTGGTGGGCGAATCACCTTCTGAGCGCGGCCAGGGAGAACACGGGCGGAGTCATCTTCCTCATCTCGACTGAGTACAGGTGCCGGTCTTGGCCTCCTCCAGGTGACCTCCTTGGTGCCGGGATTATAGTAGAACGACCCACGGCCCTCTGGATCCTCATGCCGTTCCCGGGGCGACTGCAAAGTGGGGTCCTCCGTGGGCGGCCGTAGGTAGCGACCAGTCGGACCCTTCTTTGGTGCAGCTGGTGGCACCATCGTTCGTAGGTCTTGCCACCCAAGAATAAAGCGAGCCGAGAACACAGTGATCCGACGCCGGTGTGGTGTCGCACGGGCGGAGATTCTCCACCGACACTGTGTACGTTTTCTGCTTCTCCGCCTTGGTACCTGGTGGAGCCCAAGCAGATATAGCCAGGTCAGGCCATGCGGCACCTAGTCGAGATATAATTGCTCTCACCTTCAGAGCAGAAGGGCTGCACTGCAAGTCGTGGCTTATCATAGGGGCTGCCACCGAGTGCAACGGGCACATGGAACACGTCATCAGGAAGGAATGCCAGCAGCGACACAAAGAAGACTGAAGCTGAGACTGGGACGGTCTGCCAACTGAGGTGGTGCTCGCAAGGGCATCGGGCACGTCCTGAGCATGGAGAGATCCTGCAATGGCAAGGGGTGCGAGAGCAATTGTGCTGAGAGGAACCGCCTCCTCGCAGAAGAGCAAGAGGCACGACCATGGGAGGGACCTTGGCATTCGCAGCATGCCAAGAACTACTCAGTAGAACATGTTTGGCCGTCGCAGACCTTGGCACACCTGTAGTGATTTTTGGATTTGTCGGGGAAGAGCTCCGAGCCACTTGTGTCAGGGAGACAAGCTTGGACCCGTCACATGGTCTAACAGGGCACCAGCTACAGCAACAAGGTCCTCTATCCGCCTTCAGGTCTAGAGAGCGCCAGTTGTGCTGAAACCATACGGGCTCCTCCTCAGGGTGGCGGTGCCGGCCGAATCGTGACCGTAATGAGCCAGCCTGCTGCTTTTGTAGTGACCGTAGTGGACATGAATGGCACACCTGGCGTAGGCATAGCCACTGTAGGCCGCGGGGTCCCAACAGCTTTGAGCACTGTAGGCGGAGCCTTGGAGGGACTCGCAACTGCATCCATGGTAGGGCCCACTGGCGAGGTAGGAGGCATCGGCATCGGAGAAGGCAATCCAGCATGGTCCGTTGCAGCAGCGGGTGCCGACATTGGTATCGGGGGAGTCGAAGCTGGAGGCTGTTGAGCTCGCCATGGAAGCCATGGTGGCGGTCCTGCTGGTCGAGGAGAGCTCGCCATAGTAGCTGGTGATGGCATTGGAGGGCCTGCAGGGCCTGCTGACTTTGTCGGGACCACGCGGCGGGCCAGCCTTGACCCTCAGTGGGGGAACAGCCTCGGTGTCTGTAGAAGGGCTAGGAGGACTGTCCGACGATGAGGTTGGTTCCACTTCGGCACCTGATCTCGCCTTGGCTTTCGGCCTTCCCCTGTCTAGGCCTTTCCGTGGCTTGAGCACCAATGTCTGTGTTCAGAGCATGACAGGAACAGTCGTAATCGCCTCTCCTATCACCACCAAGTCCATCTCCCTGGCTCTCAACAGCAGACTGGGTCGCTGGCCAGGGATCCCAGGGAGACACTGGGTGCGGGAGACAGTTTGAGCCCTCAAGCCATGGTAGGCTGTGGGAGTGGAAACGGTCGGCTCATTGATTAGTGCAATCAGAGGCACAAGGAAAGCAGCCATCCTGCAGCCTACAGCCATGTTTGGTTAGTGTCCCAGGAATCGTCTAGTGCACCCGTGACCGTTATGGTGGCGGAGGCCCAAGGTTTTCCACAAAAAGAATTCAACGGCTCTGACCATCTCTGGAGCCAAGGGCTTGATAGCAGTAGCAGTAGCAGTAGCAGCAGTAGTAGTAGTAGTAGTAGTAGTAGTCGTAGTCGTAGTCGCTGTCGTAGTCGTAGTCGTAGTCGTAGTCGTGTAGTCGTAGTCGTAGTCGTAGTCGTAGTCGTAGTCGTAGTCGTAGTCGTCGTAGTAGTAGTAGTAGTAGTAGTAGTAGTAGTAGTAGTAGTAGTAGTAGTAGTAGTAGTAGTAGTAGTAGTAGTAGTAGTAGTAGTAGTAGTAGTAGTAGTAGGTATTAGGGTTAGTAGTAGTAGTAGTAGTAGTAGTAGTAGTAGTAGTAGTAGTAGTAGTAGTAGTAGTAGTAGTAGTAGTAGTAGTAGTAGTAGTAGGCACCCCCCCCTACCAACTACCTTGCTCTCAACCATGTTAAGACAACATCCATTTTATCGGTATTTACGGCACTTTCGTCATGTGCGATCATCCTAAGAGGCCCAAAAATCGACTTGTCGAGTTTGCAAACTCGGGCTCTTGATTTTGGACTTGCTTCGGTGGGTGGGGGGGTGGGGGGGGGGATGATGACGACAGTGTTACGCGAACACACCCAGCAGTATCACCACAAGAGCCGTTTGACTCGGTATTTACGGTACTTTCGTGATGTCAGACTTTGTTACATATTCTGAGCCCTACTTCTCGACTATGCGTATTAAACTTTGCTCTTTGGAACTGTTTGCAAAAAAACTCGAAATTGGGTGGGGGAAAGCTTCTTCGGGGATGATCACGACACTGTTTTGCGGACACCCTGAACAATATTTCCACACTCAAGCGCGCACACACCACACACACCACTTCAAAAACAGACCCTCCTACGCAGAGGTTGGGCGGTAGGGGTGTTGGCGAGCCCCTCCCACGTACAGCTGGCATCTTTGTTTTTGATGTTTAGAAGATGTTGCGCTTCAGGTTTTAGAAATGTTAAACCCTTCTTGGCAGCACCTGGGTTTTGCACGGTATTTACAGCGTTTTCGTACTATCCGACCACCTGGGGTTTATCAGTTTCTTCCCCGTCGAGCTTGCAACTCCAGCTGCTGTCGCAGTTTTGGGGCCTGAGCCCCTGCAACTTCACCGGCTGTGACAGTTAAGGAAACTGAGCCTCTGCAACTTCTGCAGCTGTCACAGATAAGGAGCCTGAGCCCGTGCATCTGATGCAACTATCGCAGTTAAGGCGCCTAGCACCTACCGTTGCCCAGCCCGGATGGAACAAGTGTAGTTGGGAGGGGGGGGTGGCTAGTAGTAGTAGTAGTAGTAGTAGTAGTAGTAGTAGTAGTAGTAGTAGTAGTAGTAGTAGTAGTAGTAGTAGTAGTAGTAGTAGTAGTAGTAGTAGTAGTAGTAGTAGTAGTAGTAGTAGTAGTAGTAGTAGTAGTAGTAGTAGTAGTAGTAGTAGTAGTAGTAGTAGTAGTAGTAGTAGTAGTACTAGTAGTAGTAGTAGTAGTAGTAGTAGTAGTAGTAGTAGTAGTAGTAGTAGTAGTAGTAGTAGTAGCAGTAGTAGTAGTAGTAGTAGTAGTAGTAGTATTCATTCCCCACGCTGCATGACGTCCAATGTCTGCATAGCGAGCTAGCGATACGACTTTGTCGTATCGGACTCTCTTATGGAGTCTGTGGCGGGCACTGTGGCCAGCACCACACTGCCTAGTCGTCCTACATCTTACTAAACTCATCACTCAGTAATAAGACCTGGCTCATATCGAAGCCAGAGCACGTATGTGGCACTGCGATGAAGCTGTGATGCTGCATGATTGTGGATGCAGGCAGAGCGATTGTCATCCGTAAGCCACTTTTTGTCTCCCCCATAAAACGGTTGACCGGAGAGGACAGCTTGGTAGTGTCCCTCGGTCGGTGAGGCCCCATGGTGCAGCGCCATAGCCACAACCTGATAAGGCAGGTGGTCACACTCAAGATTGCAGCGCTCAGCTTCACTCCCGGCTTTGAAGACTGGCAGATGAACAACATGGAGGTGGCCTGTGAGAGGTCTTGGATCACGTTGCACAACCCCGACCTCATTGTGAAAGCGAAGTAGCTGCAAGCACACAAGTGGGGCGGGTGATGTCAAGGCATGAACATTGGACTGTGAGTGCCAGCTGTCTATGCACCATTGCAGATGGCATACCTCACCAGTACAGAGTGGGACTGGTATCGGATGATGGGCAGGACCAGAGTCCAGCACACAGAGTTGAGCATCTCGATAGTGACGAGCCTCCCATCTGGAGACCACTAGGTCCGCACTCAGTGTGAGACTCCTGGGGAGCAAATAGGCTAGGAACTCACAAATGTCATGCTGTCGTCCAATCTGAGTCCACTGCCCGAGAAGTAATCGCCATTGCATAAATAAGCTGAGTGACCTGAGTAGCTTGATTATGCCGTGGATGGGTGGCCAAGGCTCGGAAGCAGGGGTGCAGTGTGTATGAGGCGGTGCCATGGTGCTGCAGCTGTAGAACGGCCCATGCAAGGGTTAGCACAGCTGTGTTAAGGTAGCACAGATTGCTAGCATTATAAAGACTGAGCTGAAGGATAGTGCCAAGTTTGAGGCTCGCACCAGCAATCACATCCCTTGTCTCACTTGGTCGACCAGACCGTTGTACTGTGGCCTTTCGCGTCGAAGTCGGCATCCGAGAAGGTGCCAAGCTGCTTGCCCCACCCATGTTTGCAAAGTGCTCCAGATGGGATCTCCGAGGGGACGTAGGGAGATCTCCAAGCGGAATTGCATCCACTCGGTGACCGGCTGGTCTGTCATCCGCTTGTAGCTGCGAAACCGATGTAGAGCTTCTTCCGTGACACCCTTCCGCATCTCCACGGTCTGCTTCAGAAGGTCCTCGGTGGAGACCATGATCTTGCTCTCGTCTACCTGGAGTTCTTGCCGCTGTGGGTCCCATTTGAGCACTCTCCAATGTCCCCGCTCGTCCGTCCAGTTGAGCTTCTTGGCCTTCTCCAGCTCGGATGTATCCTTGGCTACCGCAGTAAGACGGCCATGAAGTTCGATCATGAGCTGCTTGAACATTGCGATCTTGAGGGAATATGTCAAGGTGTGGGGCGAGGTCTCCTTCGTTTGTCGCCACTTTTCCGCAGTCTGATGCAGAAGCGACACAATGCTGCCCTGGCCCGTCTTGACAAAGAGATAAAGGGTTGTGAAAGCTCCCAAAGCTTCCACACTGGCAGCCTGACTGATGTAGAGAAGATGTCTCGAGAAGCACCCCGTGCCTCGAATGAAGAATGCCCCTGCCCGGCAGAGATCAATGACCTTTTAGATTCCCACGCGCGCCCTGCGATGCGTATGGCTCACAATCCCTCTACCCGCCTCGGCCCCCTGTGAGCCTTCGGTCAAGACGCAACATGGAGTCAACTCCTGACACGGCTTTCACACTCCTCTATCTTTCGTCTAGACCGAGAGGCTAATCTCCCTTTGGAGGTTCCTCTTTCATAAGCCATTCGATGGCTTGACGACGGTGAGAAGCTTTGTCCAGGGAACCATTGGCATCGCGCAACTTAAAGCGACCCAACGACAGGACCCGTCTTAACAGCTCAGTGTTCATGACTTTAGTTAGACTATCAGCTAACATCAAGCTGATAGGTACCCATCTGAAGGCGCAGTGCTCTTGACAACGCTGACGGATTAGAAGGACTTCTAGGGTGGTTCGGTGCTCTTCACAGGACGGGAGGGCCGTTCTAGTGACCAAGTCGTACAAAGACTTACAGTCTGTGACGATGGTGGCAGGGTGCAGCATCTTGAATCCTACCTCAGGGCTTTCCCATGGATAGGCGGGCACATGTATACATCCCCACAACGAGCGAACCCAACCCAACAGATCAACCGATTTTGGCACGGCGTAAGCTTCGGCAGAGAGTGTGGACCTCACGACTCGGGATATGCGTTTAGAAACCCAGGTTAAGGGGGTGAAAGGGGCTTCTTTATTGGACTGCAATCGCAAGTCGGTGGCACCGATGACTACACCTTGGTGGGAGTGAGGGCTCCGGCTGCTGGCAAAGGAGGCGTCTCCGAAGGAGACGAAAGTTACTTCAGAAGCCGGAATGGCTTGGAAGGTAACGGTTGTGTTCTGAAACTCCTGTGCTTCACGCAGAACCCTATTCGAATCCAGCAGAGCCTGAACAGTTGGCGACGACATCTGAGCTTGGACTTCCGCTAGGCGGGCTGCGAGGTCAGGTCGCGTATGGGTTACTGCATACTGGAGGCTCCCTATGATCCCTCTTAAGGAAGACTTCTCACCCTCCGATAAGGTGCTGTCCGGCTGACTACGGCGATCCCGTGGGATATTGACCGCGATGATGTTCTGAATGTATGATTGTTGCTGAATACGGATAGAAAAGTCTGGCAGCTGTTCCATAAAAATGCCTGTGAATGTAAATGACTTCATCTTTTGACTCCCGAAAGGGAGCTTCACCTGAAGAGATTGGATCTGCTGTTGAAAGAATTCGTCTCCACCACACACTCCGTCATCTACACGCATGCCAAGAACTCCATGCAGTTGTCGATGACCCTGGTGCTGTGACTCTAGGATAAACACGCAAGGATCTAAGGGGTGAACCCTAAACCCTAAAGCTAGGAGTTGGGACTTGAGCTCTTTGTAGAAAAGAAGCGGGGCATCGACCCTTCCATAGGCATTACCTACAAGCTCACAGACTTCGTTTGATCCTAATTTGAGCATTTTGCGGAACTCGGGGGGTGGATCCATAGCTAAACGATTGTTTGCGTCGGCCTTCCCTCTCAAGAACGCTGTGCGAATATCGAAGGACTGAAGATCCCACTTGTACGAGGCAATCGCCTGCAGTACGACTGATCGGCCTTCACGGGTTAATGTAGGGGAATCTCGGGCGACCTTGGTTAGTTGAGGATATTCGTAGCCTAAGACTACCAGACGAGCTTTGGCTCGGCGCTCCGATGAGCCAGGCTCAGGGTCTTTCCAGGTGAGAACCCATCGAGATCTCAGAATCTGCTCTGGGTTTAGGCGATTACGCAAAATCCTACGAACAGCATTCGTACTTATCCAACAGTTGAGTTCTTTCTCTTTTGCGGCATCGAAAAGTTTTTGTTCGGCAGTTGTGAGGTCTCGTACACGAACTTCGGCCCTATTCTTCTTTCCGGTGGCAGCTACATGACACATTTGCTCGGGATTCTTTTCTTTCAACCAAGTCTTAACATCTTTGGGCTTGAGGGGAATTTCAAGACAGTAAGCCTGACCTTCTAGAGCACACAGCGGCTCCTCCAGCCACGGCATGTCGTCTTCAGCTAGGAGGACCGGCGAAGTATTAGGGGAGGTGTATGAGTCGCCTGGACATAGGGAGTAAAACTCCAGCAGGGGATCTTGATCGGTGCTTTCGAGAGGGGTTTGTGCTAACAGCACGGGACACGTCTCTTGACAAAGAAGACCCTCATCGTCTGACTCTGGAATTGGGACTTCATGAGGTGCCGGCTCCATTGGAGCCGGATCTTCAGTGTCGGCACGGACACTGACCTGGGGAGTCAACTCATGTTCAGGTTGTGGAAGATCTCCCGAAGATATCGGGGCCAGTCCGGGAGCGTCAGTTGTTGGGACCTCCTGTGGAACGACAGTTTCTGGAACAAGGGTCGCACCATCTGAAGAGGGAAGTGCTTCGGATCGACGCACAGTGTGAAGACGGATGCCAGATGGCACACCAGAGGCGGAAGAGAGGACTCCGGAAGAGACTGCAGGAGGAGGTTCCGATGATCTTTCTGCAGGCGGTGGAAGGCGAGAGAGGTCGAGGATCTCACTGGCACCTCCCGCGTTGTGTTGAGGAAGACCCGAAGATCGATCCTGCTGTGACAACTGCTGCCATTCCCTAAGAGATGCTGGCCGGAGGTATTCTGGAGGTGCTCGGACTGACCGGGTTCCGTGAACTAGCCATACGGCCGACTGGCCATCAACAGACACGACTCTAGCAGGGCCGTGCCACCTCCCGGCAGCTTGTCGATTGGGACTCGTTCGTTTGATCCAATACAACACCCAATCTCCGGGCCGATATGGGCCTCGAGGGGGGTGAGATCGGCGCAAGACCGCTCTCCTAAGAGCTGCATTGTTATCGGCCTCGAGAAATGCCTTACGAGCGACGGACCGAAGTTCAAGACTACGCCTAAACTGTTCACCCTCCAAACCCTCAGCGTCAGCTAGACCATGCGCAGCTGCTCCTTCATCAGAGCATAGAGAGGCCGGTAGCTTGGTGGATTTGCCCAGCACTATTTGTTCTGGAGAAAACCCTTTGTGCCGAACCATCGAGTTCTTTGCATTAAAACACAGGGTCAACATTCGATCAAATGCTTCAAGGTTAGGAATAGGCTCCTGCTGATCAATACGCTTAAGCATATCCTTTAAAACATCCCCATGCCTCTCTATCCTCCCCCTTTGCCATGCTTCTGTGGTAACGTAGTGGGTCATATCTAATTCCTGGAAGGCCGAGAGCAAAGCTTCGGATCGCAGTTCGCCGGCAGGGTCGAGATACACGTGTCTCGGAGCGCCAGCCCATGTTATCCACAAGTCTTTAACTATGGGAAACACCGTAGAAAAATGTCTAGTCGGGGTGCGCTTTCCCAGATGGAAGCAGCTCGCCTCATCAAGGAGGTGAACAACATGTGCCTGAAAACCCGCTTGACCCCTAAAATAGAAACCATCTATCCCAACTACATCGTTAAACTCTACTGGCTCGTGAAGCTTGGAAGGGCGGGGCAGCTTGGGCTCAGCGCTCTCAACGCAACCTTCGCAAACGTACTCCTTAGCGGCGTCCACCACGTGGGGAGCGGCGCCGGCAGACTGAAGATGCTGAGCCAACTTCTCCGGAGCAGGGTGCCCGAGATTCTTATGTAGTTTGACAAGATCTGCTTTTTCTGCGGGGCTTAGATTCCTAAACTTGGGTCCATGTAAAGGTATGGGTGGCGGGCCCCACCCTTGGAGGTAATCAGGGTGTGCGCTGTCCGGAACTGGCTGACCAACAGCATCCTCGGTCGTCGAGGGTCGTGATGGGATCAGAATCATCGGCTGGAAGCTCCTCTTGAGTGGCTGTAGGCTGTGAACTCGGGCCAGCTGGGGGACCAGCAAACGCAGTAAACAACAGCTTACAGGAAACACAAGATGCGTGTCGGGCAGCATTGGTCAAGGTCTCTCGATCCTCACAGGGGCCTACGAACACATGCGGTGGAGCTTCCAGCTGGCCGAGAGTAAACCGCCAGGGTGCGGTCTTGAACACAGGAGCGCCGATTGGTGACTGCAATTGTTGAGCGGCTCTTCGAACAAACAGTCGAACAAGTCTGATTTGGGGAGTGCGTTCTTGAAACATCTGAAACAACGGAGTGCCCACTTCGATATTGCAGTTACCGACTCGGGTTGCACAACGTTCAGCTTCAGCAAATACCGGCTGCCAGTCAAGTGTCTGAGGGATGCCACCCTCCGAGCACGGCTGACTGGGGGTCCGTCTGAGGCAGTGGGGTTCTTACGCTTAGGGTTCCTAGACCCAAACCTAGGAACGGCACCCTCACTAGTCTTAAAGCGTTTTCGGGTGAGGGGCGCTGTGGGTTCGGTTACTTCGGCAGGACAGGCAACTTCCGATGCAGCGGTCAACAGGCCCGCAGCAAGGTGCCTAGCAAACCCTATTGAGTGCGACGCCTTAAACCGAAAAGAACCACCAAATTGATCCCTTACCTCAGGGCTCCGAGTCATGACCTGATGCGGATGGTCTCTCGCGCACAGATGATTGAAGAGATGCTTGGCGATTGCTTTCGATGTCGTACGGACGACAGTGCGCTTGCGAACGAGCTTTTGGGAACCCGAAAGACGGAGTGCAAACCTACACATGTCTACAGTAACTGGCACAGTGCGTTGAAACAGATCATGGACGGATGACTGCTGAAACAGACTAGAGGATTGCGGCTGCTCTATGTGAAAATGCCTACCTGCCTCTACTTGGACCTTGCACAAAGTGCTGTACAAACGTAGCAGAGTTTGCTGAGCCTCGCGAGCCTGTTGGATGCGGGCAAGGGTTTGAGCACTACGACCCTGATTGAACCTGGACCAAGGACCCCACGGTGCACACTCAGGGGCTACGAAGATATGCTTGGGCTTAGTGGCATTCACTAACGTCAACAACCATCTTTGACCGGCAAGGGTTTCTAGATTGCACTGTTCAGCTGTAACCCGCATAGCGTTGCCCCCAGCCTCCTGAACTTCAGCCGTGAGTCGGCTCTTTGGGTCCGCTAAAACTTCTAGGAGGTCAAGTGGCTTCTCTAGGGGCAGCTCGGGTAGCTTAGGGTGATGAGCTCGCGCCAAGTGCTTCAGGGCTCTCTTTGAGAGCAAAAAGGGTGTGGCACCGGGCACCACCTCAACTCCTATCCACACGCATTGACCCCGCACGCCTCGAAGTGGAAAAAGCACCCTTTTCTGGGAAGTCAGCGTCTGATTGTTGCCAAAGCGAAACCTTACAGCACTGCGAGTCTCCCTCACAACCTTGCGCACGGGATCGGGCAACTGTTGTAGGAGATTGGGTAACAGCTTATGGCCTATAATGCACCGGCTAGCACCTGTATCAACTATAGCCTCGACCTTACCGTGGTGGTACCCGGAGAAGTCTCGGGCGCCAAAAAAAAATGCAACTCGCACCGATTTGGGGCAAAGGCCTTTTTTTGGATGGCAGCACCGAAAAAAGAGTGACGGTTGCATTTTTTGGAACCAAAGGCCTGCTGTCAAGCTTTGGTGTATCGATCTGTGACGCCGTGAGCCCAAAATTTGGGGACAAACGTACAGAGTTCAGGCACTCAGGGGCCAGCGGAAGCAATATTTTTAGACGGTTTCTGTATGTTTGCTGTACAGCTGCAGGTTGGCTCAAACTCGCTGAGAAAAAAAGACCCTAATTTCCTTTATATGTGGACAGGTGGTGCCCCAATAGGGATTCTTCCTGTCTACTCCCTAAACCCCATATATGTGGATAGTCGGTGCTCCAATAGGAGCCGCCTTCTATTCACGATATTCATATAAGCATCATATATTCTCGTTCACATAAGCGGGCATCGATGTGAGCGGGAACTGGTGATTGCACGGAAGCTGGCTCAGTCAGTCCATGCGAGATTCGTGAGACTCAAGACCTGCAGACTATAGCCTTTTGCAGCAATTCATTAAAGGGCCAGGGCATATCGTGATTTAAATAATGCCGTTACGCGCTGAATGCATCATGGCGGATGAACCAGCTGCTGAAGCTGGTCTTGCCAAAGCCAGGTGCTCCAAGTGCCCCTGCTGTGCCCGAGTGAGTCTGTGTGAGCAGCAGGCTAAATGACGTTGGATCGCAGTCTGGCTCATGGCTCATACGGACCGGAGCATGTGAGGAATTCCTTATGATTAGAGTCATAGAGCAGATCGATGTAGAAGTTCGGCCTTCGGGTCGCTGGCAAAGCCACAGAAGCTTGAAAATACTGGGTTCGTGTTCGTGTTTTCTTAGAAAGTCAGCAGCCATGGAGACTGAGGACTCCTGGGACAGATTCCTGCACTTTCCATAAAAATAAGTTGTCGTAGAGGAGGAGAATCCTTGCGCCGATCCTGCACAAGTGTCTCTATCCCCCGAGGAAGATGTGGCTCGCTTGCAAATTAACTCAAGGACAGATCGAGGAGCACAGCATGCACGGTGTGGCCCAGCTAGACTGTAGGTGGTGAAGACAATAACGTTGGCTCTCAAGCCAATTCTACGTCCTTTGAAAAGCTCTCAGCTCAGAACATTTCGTGCTTACGCTGAGATCCAGTGATATATTCCGTGCTCTGTACATAAATACGGTGAGGTGTTGGGCAAATGTGGCCGAACGCTATGAGATTCGCCCACCCGAAGAGCTCGTTGCCCACAGACTGGATCGAACACGAGGGCTTCTCCGTCCTCGACAGTGTGCTGGAATCCCTCCGTGCCCTTGGATATATTGTTGGTTTCGTACGTCTTGTTCCCTGGTCGAGATATGTTGTGCTGTTGAATTGGCCTTCCGAGGATATGTGGTGGTGAACCAGGTTCCTGCCCCCCGAGTTTTCGAAGTCGCAGTGCCTTGAAATCAAATTTCATATATATATATATATATATACACACATATATATAGATATATGCAAGCTCAGTAGAACAAAGCCCCGCTGATCAAAGCAAGGTGGACAATGCGGCTTCGGGGAAATTGCCGGAGATGGATCGCAAAGTTATAGCCGGCCTTCTGAAGAAAGGCTGTGCAAAAGTACGCCGGCTGCGAGCAAAGACAGAGTGGCTAGGCCATACACAGTGTCATGGTCATACGCGACCTTTCAAAGTATCAGTCTACATAAGCCCAGCTAGGTCTTCGCATAACGAACGACTGGATCGATTGAAAGCGAAGTGTCCAGCTGCATTAGTGCATATCAACATGCCGAGATTTGTGGTCGTTTGGCCTGATCTTTTCTCCGTCCGAGGATGGATGGTTGGCTGCAGAAGAAAAAGAAGCCTAAGACGGGCCGCAATAAGGTTGGCGAAGAGATCGATGCTATGCTTGACGAGATTGATAATGAAGCTCCGCCTGACTGGGATGAGATTGAAGAGTTGTTGGCTTCTCCAGAGCCAGAGCCGCCAGAGCCATCGTGGCTCACATAAATTTATTGTTGCATGTGTGCGGGCATGCTAGATTTTGTCATGTGCCCATTACTGAACCGTAGGTGCTGTGTAATTTCTGCATCTCAGGAGCTCTTCAGCACCTGCAACGAGGTCGCTTGGATTCGCAAACGGTCTCCAGCTGAAAACTCGCAGCACGCACACGGAAACTGATTCGGAACCATTTAAGGAACAAAAAGCTGGAGGAGCAGTTTGGTGACTTGAGCCGTTTTACGGCTGAGGAGGTTGAGGACCTGATGGGATGCTTGAGTTCTCCAGAGATGATTGATGCCAGTCCGCCACGACAGCCCCGACGTTCGGCTTTGAAACCTCGACCGAAGTGGAAGTCCAAGGAGCCGCAGTCTAGCGATCCTGCAGATCGTGAGCCCGAGGCGGGCGATGGAGATCGTGAGCCCAAGGCGGGCGATGGAGATCGTGGGCCCAATGCGGGCGATGGACATCGTGAGCCCAATGCGGGCGATGGAGATCGTGAGTCCGGAGATCGCGATCCGCCTGGAGATCCGATAAATCGGCCGAATATTGGTTGCAATTATTTAGCGGTCTTGTTGCAAATTTGTGGAAGTTTTCTGGGATAATATATCCATTGAGGCAGTCGGTGCCGAGCTCGTCTTCATGTACTACAGCTCGGGAGGTTCTTGGCGATAGTTGGGTTCAGGAAAAGGCTTCCTGCTCTTTGGTGGTATGAATCCAACTCAGGCTGCCCAGCAGAAGTACGCAGAGGCTCATTTGAAGATCTTTGGGTCCGTCTGGGGCTAAGCATGCCTAATACTCAGAAATATCGAGTAGCATCATATGGTTTCAATTTTCCATAAGCCAAGGATGCCATCACGTTGGATGATAGTTCCAGTGAAACCGATCTGGCTACGATGGAAGCTTTAGTGGAGCAGAGAAATTTTGTGCATCCAGATGCCGTTGCCGCCGACCCTCTTCTCAATAGATTGCAACATCTGCTGGGTGTGCATTCTTTAGTGTTTGTCCCAACCTAGGAAAAGGAGGAGCAAGGATTGGATACTTCCAAGGGCAATGCCAAGAAAAGGGCCAGCGGGGACACGATTCCGGCTGATGAGGAGGATAAGAAGAAGAAAAAAGGAAAGAAGGCTCCGGAGGAGCCCAACAAGACTTTCGCCGGTCGCCCGCCGCCGACAACCACGCCGTTTCTCTGGAGATTTCAATTTGCTGCTCAAGCTTTCCAGGAGTGTCCTGCTTGATTTTAATCTAACACATTCATTGCACGGCCCTCGTGAGCTACTGAAAGCCTTCCGTGCTGACCTAACCGTCTAAGGCATTTGTCCGGAAAAGTCGCGATGGCGAAAGACAAAGCCGAGCGAAAGTTCCTGGCATATGTGTCCGAGCAGGGCCTCAGCACGATGACTGATCAGACAGAAATTGAAATCTTCTGTCACGATATGGCAGTGGCATTTCTGCTGCACGAGGCCGGGCCGAGTTCGTACCCGTACCAGTCGAGACAGGATTTAGGGGCAAGGCTTTAAGGTCAAGGCATCTCGGAGGTTATGTGTCGATATGTGGGTGGGTCTGAAGTATGAGACTGGGGTGGTCTGATATATTAAGGGTAGGGTTCAATATTCTGATATAACTTAGGTAATCATCACAGCCCGGAAGTAGGTGTCATATGTTTTTAAAACCCCCTTTCGCAACCGAAAACAATCAAAACCTTTCGCTTAAACTTAACCCTAAGTTCAACTTCCCTGCAGGTCCCGGACATGTGAGTCGTGGCTCGCCTTTTTTTACACGTGCCTTCCGGTGCAGACGATCGATGCAGACGATCCGTTGGCTCCCAGTAATATGTAGTGTAAAGATATTACCTAGGCTGCACTAGCTGCTATATGGTTCAAAGTCCGCTCCAGCTGGGTCGCCCTCTGATCGAGCTATAGCTGGGACAGACGGATACATGCTACTGCGATCAAACAGCTGCACGCACAGTGCCACTCATAATATTGCGATTGGCTGTATGGACACTATGTAACGGTACGGTACATAAGCTGTGCAGCCGGTGGCAGGTACAGCTTCAGCATCCTCAGCTCGCAAGCGATCCTGCGAGAGCGATGACAGAGGTGTGCCCCGCATGCCACTGCACTGCTGTTGATCCTGCTAGAGCTGACTCAGATGCTCATGTGCAGTCGAAACCTTGCATGCAAACCCCTGTCTTTCGCAGGCCTTCACGCCGAGATAGGCATAGGAGCTGATGGTTTGACCTTAATTATAGAGCATAGGTTGACGATAAAGGGATATCAAAAACTAGATCCAAGACTCCGTCTGGAGTGCAATTGGGACATCCGAACAATGGCGAGCTGCTCTTCCTCATCCTGTGCCCGGTCTGACATACAATAGCTAGTCAGCTAGTCCCGTCCTCAAATGAACCCAAACCTTAAACCCCAAACCGTAAACCAAGGTGCCCCGCAATGGCTCTGGCTTCGAGCTGATGCTCATCGACAAAGGTTTCCTGGCTTCGCTTTGTGTCTTTCTTCTACATTCAGTGAACGCTTTAATTTGTGTTGGCACGTGTTTTATATCCCAGCTAGCAGTGGAAGAGGAAACGTTCCCTAGGCTTCTATACCAGGGCCGGTTTTTCTGTCCAAGCATCTAATCACAGCATGCACGGTTATGTACGCTTTCGTATGATGTCTCCTAGGGCTACTGGACAAGAAGCTTTTGTAGAGATACAGGTGTTGTGTCTTGGCGGATTTGCTGCTGTATTAGTTAACGCCATAGTTTATGGGTAGGGCTTTTGTGTCCTAGTGCAGGATGTACGGTTTTGTACGCCTGTGTACGGGTACGGATTTTGTGTGCTAGTGCAGGATGTACGAAATCGTACGCTTTTGTACGGGTATGGTCTTTGTGTCCTAGTGCAGGATGTACTCCAATCAAGTTTGCAGCAGTTGAGCTTGGGTTCTGTACAGTCGCAACCCCCATCACCCCGAATATCCATATATTGGTGCTGGGGCTCTGATGCAAATATATCAGGTCACGTATGGAAAGTAGAGCCACAGAACTACGGGAATGCCTTGTTCGTGGATTGTTGGTATCCTGGGGCTTCGCACGACCGAGCTGCACTCGTGGGGTTTATCCTGCCCAAAAGTTCACTTCGCAAAAATCTAACCACGACTTAATATATGGTATAACTCGGGGATTGTCTTTCTCCCAACAGATTAGTGGTTGAGACTCTTAGGGTCCCGTACTCCTTCCGTCGCCCGGCCCAGGACGTGGTGGGGCTGCCATTTCGATCTAGATCAGGACCCAGGACCAGGGTTTTTTTCACGACGTGTCTGTCGGATCCAAGTACCTTTTTTTATGCTATGGACGAGTTGCCTAGACTTCCTCCTTCTTGTAACTGTTGCCGCTAGTACTTGCATTGTTCAAACTATTATGAGGATCCTGCTACACGGCGAATGTTCACATATTTCTTTTTGGTATGGAAACCTAAATCTTAGCCCTTAACCCACAGCCTGAAATCCTGACTGTCCGAGGTAAGACTAGTCGCTAGCCTCATTGAGCTTTACTCGTAGCAGCTAGCCTACTCTTGAATATCGGGCTAATTATTAGTCAAAGCCTTTCTGAAGTAGGTCATATGAGCCTGCGAGCTCATCAAATTTGTTGGTGCTTGAACCTGTGCTAAGTGCTAAACATCCGAAACCCGTGCCCCTCTCCACGCTGCCCTGAACCTTAAAAAATAATCTCAGCCCCAAATATCCTGAACCTTCATCCATGAACTTCTTCTCACTCGAAGAGCCTAGGAAGCCCCGGGCCCTTTAGATCACACCCCCGCCCATTGCACGTAATTGCTGTCCGCCGCCCCGAACCTCCGGTTTATCGAGACCCCCTTTCCTGGTTCAACAGTTAGACCCTGGATCGAGGAGGCAGCCTGCAGTGCTTTATCGAAGCCGAGGGAGAGGTCACCTTCGACCGGGTTCATACGCCGGGTTGGGATCCAAAACACAGGGCCCAAACTCTTTTCGGCTTTTGGGTTCGGGGTTTGGCATCTGTTGGCAGTTTAATTGGGGGCTTGAAAGGTTTAGGGGTTTCGGTGTTTAGGGGCTTAAGGGGTTTGGGGTGTCGTGTTTGAGTACTACCATAATGTCGGGAGTTTGGTTCCAGCTTGCACGCTAAACCTTGATCTTGAGGTTCGAGGCTTTGTGGTTTCGAGTCCAGGCCCGGTTTCTGGATTCCCCATCCTTAAGCTACTTGGTAGCAAACTAGACTTATAGTGGTCATGCAGAGGATTATCGCTTCGTCCCGCAAACAAAATCTAGAATTACGAAACGCTTCAAAACAAACCCCCGGCCGCTTCCTTCTGGTCTTGACATGGCCTCTATATCCCTACGACACATGCCAGGGGTGGCAAAGCACGGGGGGCAAGGGCAAGGACCGATTGGCATGATTCGTTGCAAAGCGAGCTCGAGTGCCACAGCCAGGCCGACGCACGTCGGTGTTCGGAAATCATTACCTGCCTGCCCGCAGGACTCTATGTTGGATCGTGGTTTCCAATCTGACAGAAGAGCCTTGCTGTGAGATCCAAAGCCCAACTCCTACAGACCGCCGAAAATTTTAATCCTAACCTATAGGTGGGAATATACCCCGGGCATCTTCCACTCCAGTAGTCTTGCTACATATTATTTGTGGGCATAGATGCTAGTCATAAACTATTGATTGTAGATATCCTGGATTGAAAGGACAGCTTGCTCAGCTGAGCAGCTGTACCCTAGCCCTAAAGCCACTCGTACTCCAAGCTTTGGGCTGCTGACCGCTTCAGTCGGATGCGACCTGCCAATGTTTCGTGCAGAGCTGGGTTAATAAGTCTTTCATGCATTTGGTTCGGTAGCCTGGCTAGGACTCTCTAGAAAGATATATTATGAAATTAAGAAGTGTCTTCTTTTCCGGGTAACTGGGGCTTAGTCTTGAAACCCTGACACCCGGGCAACGTTTCGGTCAGGTTTCATATATAGTAGAGATTTGAGGATAAAGGCCCAGCTTCTGATCTTCCTTGCTACGACTGCTAGACACCTTGTTTGTGTATACTCGTACGCCTTAAGAATAAAGCCTAACTCTGGACTTAGTACGTATACTTTCACATACCACGAAGCCTTGAAGCAGTTTGACACAACTCAGCCAACTTCTCCAATTTTAAATGACCGTCCCAGATCCCAGGCCCAGCTCTGCAATCATGCATGCAAGCTGTGTGCTTCCAGTGTACATCCTACGGACACAAAACCTCAAACCGTGTATATACGCACACATCCTAATACATGTGTCAGTCAAGAAGACAGGGAAGCCATGTATACACAAACGAATGTGGGTTTTGAGTCCTAGTGCAGGATGTACGGTTTTGTACGCTTGTGTACGGGTACGGCCTTTGTGTCCTAGAGCAGGATGTACGGTTTTGTACGCTTTTGTACGGGTATGGTTTTTGTGTCCTAAAGCAGGATGTACGGTTGTGTACGCCTGTGTACGGGTACGGGTTTTGTGTCCTAAAGCAGGATGTACGGTTTTGTACGCTTGTGTACGGGTACGGTTCTTGTGTCCTAGTGCAGGATGTACGGTTTTGTACGCCTGTGTACGGGTACGGGTTTTGTATCCTAAAGCAGGATGTACGGTTTTGTACGCTTGTGTACGGGTACGGCCTTTGTGTCCTAGAGCAGGATGTACGGTTGTGTACGCTTTTGTAGATAGTACCGGGTTGTGTGTTAACTCACGGCTTCAGCAGGTACGGTACGGGTTTCGCCTGCTAGTGCTGGGCACTTTATACCGTCGTTGCTGGGTCCTGGGCAAGATTAATATGACCATTCACTTCTGAATGATACCGACCTAATTTTCGCAGGACCTCTGCCAGATTTGCAGTAGCTGCCTCGCCTGTCGATGACCGACAGCAACTTTCCGAAGACCTGGTCTTGCTGAACTCCGACTAGACTTGCAAGTTCGAACCAAAATTGCTTGTTTCGGTTCTAGTTCAGGCATCTGGCTAGTTCGATGGAGAGGCTTCAAAACCACAATGTCTGTTTTTCTGTCCGTCTTAAGGATCTTGGCTTCAGCTCGGTGATTTGTTTGGCCTGGTTTAAACACATCCGATGCACATCTCTTTCGCGGCTTTGCACGCTTGTGTACGGGTACGGGTTTTGTGTCCTAAAGCAGGATGTACGGTTTTGTACGCTTGTGTACGGGTACGGGTTTTGTGTGCTAGTGCAGGATGTACGCTTTTGTATGCTTTTGTACGGGTACGGTTCTTGTGTCCTAGTGCAGGATGTACGGTTTTGTACGCCTGTGTACGGGTACGGGTTTTGTGTCCTAAAGCAGGATGTACGGTTTTGTACGCTTGTGTACGGGTACGGTTGTTGTGTCCTAGTGCAGGATGTACGGTTTTGTACGCTTTTGTACGGGTACGGTTTTTTGTGTCCTAGTGCAGGATGTACGGTTGCACGTATTAGGTGTTGTGAGCTATAGGAAGTACGGTGTTGTACGCCTTTGTACGGGTACCGGTTGTGTGTTCATTTACGGCTTTAGACGGGTACGGATTTCGCCTGGTAGTGCACTAGTGGTCTGCATCTATTATGCATAATTTGGAGGCTTCCTGTACGGCTGGGTGCAGAATATCGCTGCTTGGCAGATCCAGTTGCTCAAGCAGGGTCTTTTCGCATGCTGAGGTTTGATGGCTTACACTACTTTCCACGAACAGAGGCAACCGTACACAACCGTACGTATCCGTACGCCATAGTCAACGAAGAAAGAACCGTACCCGTACAAAAGCCGTACGTAACCGTACACGCTATAGTACTCGGATCTGGGCCCCAATTCCACGGATCCGATGGCAGAATCAGGACGGCTCGTACCTTATGGAAACACAAGCCACCTAGAGGTGTGGTCGATGATTTCAAGTTAAGGCGGCCACCCGACGGCGACACGGCCCGCCAAGCACAGGCCACTCACACAAAGGTTATAGTTTGTGGAGCCTTTAATATTACAGCCCCCAAAATATATTGAATCTCAAGCCCTTAAATTAACAACCTCGCCGCAGGCTGAGCTTCGAGCTGCAAAGGTGGAGATAATGGAGGCCTGTGTTTCTGAGCTGCCATATAATGTTTACACATATACATATACATATACGAGATCACATAATATCTGCTGGTACGTGACAGGCTGATCGGGGCTTGGATTCAGGTGTCGAGACTTGGCTATGAAGTCATCTCATGCCTGGCTTCGGGAGCTCGTAAGGCTTTATGTGTGCTTCTAGATTTATAGCCAAGGCTACTGCAGAGGACTCGCAAGCCACACAGCCCTGGGATGGAACACCGGCACCCGCTGCCAACGACTTCGACGATGACGACTTGGAAAAGGAGTTGGAAAGGCTTATGAGCGAAGAGGCTGGGACACATGTGCCCGGCACAACTACGTGCCCCAAATCCTGAACCTTACTTACCACAACCAAACGAAAAGGGTGTGCTGCGGTTCCTTAATTATACTAGAGGCCGATTGCAGATATACTGTGACACATGCTTTAGCTTTCTGATAGACACACAAACAGCTTAGATTCTAAACCCTATGCCCCTGTCCAAATACCCCAAAGACCGGAAACCACGAACACCAAAGTCCTAAAGCCCCGAGCCATAAAGGAGTGTAGTCAACAATCCTGAAGCTTGTAGCTTCAACTCTTATTAATAATTGCACCCTGCGATTCAATCCTGTACCCTGACCCGCCCCTCAGTACCGAAGCTAAGCAGTGGCCCGAGCATTGTCCGTCAGGACGCCGCAACTTCCGCCCAGGCTTCTGAGCCTGAAAGCAATAGCAAGATGCAGGCACTTGAACAAGAACAGGCTACGCTGAAACAACTATACGAAGAAGCTGTGGCCCGCATTGCTAAGCAGAAGCTAGAGGCCACTACGCATGGCACAGCAGCAGCAGAAGAAGAAGCCGAGAAGAAAAGAAAAGCAGCAGCAGCAGCACAGGAAGCCGAGGAGAAAAGACAAGAAGCAGCAGCAGCAGCAGCAGAAGCCGAGAAGAAAAGACAAGAAGCAGCAGCAGCAGAAGCCGAGAAGAAAAGACAAGAAGCAACAGAAGCAGAAGCCGAGAGGAAAAGACAGGCAGCAGCAGACGAAGCCGAAAAGAAAAGGCAGGAAGCAGCAGCAGCAGAAGCCGAAAAGAAAAGACAGGAAGCAGCAGCAGCAGAAGCCGAGAGGAAAAGGCTCGAAGCAGCACTAGCCGCAGAGATAGAAGCAGCTGATGCCCAGAAGAAACGCCGAGAGGAAGCACTTGCAGCAGAAGCAGCTAAGAAAGCACAAGAGGCAGCAGCAGCAGAAGCAGCAGACACCGAAAAGAAACGGCAAGCAGCTGTTGAGGATGAAATCCGAAGAATGAGGCAACGGATCCAGGAGCTGACGGGGGAGACGCCACCGACAATCGGCACGAGCAACTTCAAACGTGCACACAGCCCCACACGAGCAGCACCGAGCCGGAGCTTGGATCTATCGCCACTTTCGAAACAACTCAAACAGGAACACGAGGAGGAGGAAAGGCTCAAAAGGGAGGTTGCAAATGCTACGAAGAAGGCGAAGTTGGATGAAATCCAAAGGAAGAATGAGGCCATGCGACAAAAGCTCTTGGCCTTGGGCAGCAGTGCTTCGACAAACTCCCCGCCCGCAGCAACTCCGAACCCCAGTGCTTCGCCGGCCCCGGCCGCAACAAATGCGAACCCCGCTCCTTCGCCGACCCCGGCCGCAACACCTGCTTCGCCGATCCCACCCCCGCCTCAGGGCCCACCCCCACCTCAGGGCACTGCGGCCCCTCCGACAACGATCCCAGCAGCTGCTCCTCCCGAGACTTCGACGAGTGAACCGACTGCTGCTGATGAAGTGCCTAGACCAATCTATTATAGTACCTAAACCTAAATCCTGAAACCTTAAGTTTTTCTCTGAGGAGTATAAATATTTGTATATATATATAGACAGTTATATAACATCATACATTAATAAACTATTACTAGGGGTATACATGTATGTGTGTATATATATATATGAGAATAATCAAACCGAAACTTTGAGCAGCCACCAAACAACATACATCTAGTGATCCGAGGCGAACACAGTGGCACGAAAAGAAGCGGCCGCAGCGATCCAGACGGTCCGCCGGCTTACGAAAAACCCTCACCGATGCACGCTGGAGATCCTTCAAGCATGGAGGACGGGTGGTGATGTGAGGAAGGATATGATCAAGGAGTACATGGCGAGTGGACAGGACGTGAACAAGGTCACGGTGGGGATCATTTTGAAGGATATGATGGTTGAGCAGCTTAGTCAATGTTTAGAATTTTTGGGCTCATTGGGCTCCCTCGTTCGTTTCATGTGCTCAGCTCAGGCAAGAAAAAAAGACAAAGCAGTCTTTGACGAGAGAACAGGTGTTCACGCACTACGCCCCCAACGAACAGAAAGCGAAGGATGCCATTGACTTTGCTGTCCAGCAAGGCCGTAAGGATCTCAGTCCAATCGAGCCACAACCCAAAAGTTGTGCATGTTGGTCTACTTAAGGCTGCCGGGACGATCCGAACTTCCCTGCTGGTTCGGGGAACCTGCTGTACAATATCTTCACAGAGTTTTCCGAGACTGAGCTCTTCGAAAAACGTCGCGAGATCGAGGCAAGCATCAAACCACTTGCCTCCGACAACAGACCGGAAGCCAAAAAGCTGTTCTCAGAACTGCGACTTAGTGGCAATTCGTTGGCTTCGCTTCGTTCTGGTTCTCTTTCTTCGAAAAACCCTTAAACTAAAGCCCAAACCCTAGCAACAAAACCCTACATTAAAAACTCCAAACCCTAACCTGTCCGTCTGATATCCCTATTCATAAAACCATCCTCGACCCTTCCAGAATAGCTGTTTGCATACCTATCTCAGGTGCCATGAGTCTACGACAGCTACGCCTACGCCGGCTGCCATTACGGAGAGTGCTGCTGCAGGCTAATACGACTTTACGATGCCTTGATTGTTATCGGGTCGGGTGGCTTTGCAGGAGAAGCGAAAGCTTCTGCGAAGGCGACAGCCAAGGCCAAAGGGAAGGCGAAATCGAAAGCTCCGGCGGCCATGAAAACCGGAATATTCGAGTTGACAAAATGCAGAAGCAGCGATTTGAAAGAAGCCCTCCCGCGGTTCAACCGAGCCGAAACGAAAAAAAATATGGAGAAGGAGGTGCTTGCCAAGGTGGGACTTTAAACAGTGCAGCACGTACTCAGAACCCCAATTGTGGAATCGACCCCGGCAGGTCGGCCTGGTTGCACGTCTGCAACTTCAGCTTCAAGACCTCGAGGATGCCAGTGCTGTTATGGATTCGTTGTTAAAGGCCAAAACTGGGCTCGAGGAGAAGTACAAGGCCTTTGGGCTATGTCTGTATGTTCTGCATATGCACTCATCCATACATACAAGTATGTGTTATCAGATGGTGTAGCAGGCCTTAAAGAATCTCGACGAAACCGTTGACGAGGCCGAATGGCAGGAGCATCTAAAGGCCATTTCGCTGTGTACGCATATACATGTTTTCTATCCATCCCTCTCCCCTTCCAAAAGCCTAAACCTTAAACCCTGGCAGGAGGTGGCAAGGGCTTTCTTGGTGTGTGCCAGCAAAGAGGACCCTGTCTGCTGTCACATCATTCAATGGCAAAGTCTGTCCCAGTGTCGTACATACAAAGAGAAGGTGACAGAGTGAGAGTGAAAGAGAGCGAGAGAGAGATAGAGAGAGAGAGAGAGAGAGAGAGAGAGAGAGAAAAAACAAACGAGAACCCAAAACACGCACAAATCTAAGAGAGAGAGAGAGAGAGAAGGAGAGACAGATAGAGATATAAATAGATAGAGAGATGGCGAGGGAGTGAGAGACACATAGCAACCTATGTTAGGAGCTTGAAGAAATACGACTCGTGGCAGTGTGAATGTGTTCTACCTGCAATCGCATCCGCAACTGCAGGAGTTTGCTTTGGGTGTGGCCAAGGTGCATGCAAACAAGAAGGCATGAGTGAAGTTGGCCCCACTGCTGCATGTGCTGTGCCACGGACCGAGACGTTGCAATCCCTAGTCACGGTACATGCTAGCTTCCATATGAAGTGCAGGGTTTCGCTCGGCCCGACATGCAGCTGGATCTTTATCAGCTAGCAATATGGCTGGCTTTTGTGATTGATTCTGGGATGGGCACTTGATGTACTGTGAGCTACACACATGTACCACTGACAAACCGATGAACCTTCGGATGCTGTGTCCAACAAAGTCGTGCTTCCCGGGAACTTCGTGCACCATATGCACTCGGTTTTTGATGCTGGCTGCAGCAGTTAATACAATATCCGGGCATGATTAAGAGCCAACCTGTAAATGCTCTGGTCTATCCGCAGCAAACTAGCAGCTAGCAGCTACTTGATGGTTTTTGATCATGCTAGAAGGATAAGCTGGGCTTACGAGGCACTTGCTCTACATACCGCTTTTATATAGTCTGCATTCCCGCACCTATATATGTGTCTATGTGTGCTTGTTGCCCACCAGCTTTATCCAAGCTAGCTCGTGCTGGTTTTTGAACAAGTGAGCTGTGAATTGGGAAGAGGCACGGGCTGCTAGGAGCTAGAACACAATCATGATCGCAAGATTTGTGACTCAGCCTGCTGCCCACCGGTTTGCAGCACGCTGCGACTCCTCCGTCGGACGGAGACGAAAGATCATCTCAGGTTTTTGCTTGCACATGAGCTCATTTGGTTCTGTTGAATCCTTGCACTCGTTGGTGCTCTCTCACTGCCTCGGTCTCCCTCTCTCTCTGTCTCTTTCTCTCTCTCTCTCGATCTCCTCTCTCCCCTCTCCACTCTCTTCTCTCCGTGTCTTCCTCTGGCTTTTACAAGCTTAGAAGCACAGCTCCCCACGCAGGCCTCGACGTCCCGGCACCCGAGCCGAAGAGGACTCCTTCCGACCTGCCGTAAGCTTCACATTACATAAGCCGTAAAACTAATGAACTTTCACCCCATATATATAGGGAACACCTTAAATCCTGAACCCTGAACCCGCTAGCTAGGTTAAAATGCACCGCCCTATCGCAGGAAACGTCCAGCTCCGAGGCGGCGAGACTTACAACGACGATTGGATGCGAAAAATGCTGCTGCATCGAGCTCTCCTGTAACCCTGGACAAGCTTTATGTGCCCCAGCAAGAAGCACTGCCGTACAGGCTGCAGAGTCTGGCGAATGCATCTCTATCGAATACTGCTGTCGCTGCTCTACAAAAAAAGAATGCTGATGTGAACTGGATAAGCGACTTGTGTTCAGCCGCTGAAACCGAAAGCGGCAACAACATGCACTGGATCACCAAGAAGCTGGCTGGGAGGAGGACAGAGAAGCGATTCCACGAGTTTTTCGCACGATCGTTACCAAAGGTATCGAAAATCAAGTTGCCGCTGCTGGTGTCGAAGAAGAAGAAACTTGTGGTTGAGAAACCATGCAGAGACTTGTTCAAACTTCCATCGTCGAACGTTCATGCTCTTGTAGTTTTCCGCACAACCTTCCTTAACCAACTTAAGGTATCGTTCTTCCGAGCTCCTACATGTCGTGGTTGGAGAAGCGGCCTTGGTTATTGCAAGCCATCTGCTTTGGTTCTTCTACGCCGCAAGATCGCGAGCTGCTGCTTGGTTTGTAAGTCAGGATCAGGTGCACTAGGCTAGTTTGCAGGAGCTACTTCGCTTCTGACAGATACGAGCAGCTCAGGTTGAGCAGCACTTTGCAGAACGGCGACGTTGGCTACACTGGAGGTCTTGTACCCTACCTCGAAATTACCCTAAGCCCTTAACTCTAAATAAAAGGGTTCTTATCACGACAGGGCCTGATGATCTCCCATTTCGTCTGCACGGCGATGAGGGTCCTGGCCAAAAGTCCAAGAACGTGCTTGTTATCAATATGTCATTTCCTTATACTCATTCGGGTGAGCCTTGTTGGCAATGAAGCTGTTGTGTCCGCTTGTTTGATCATGCAATTCGCTCGTGCTCACCTAGGACACTTTGAAGACTCGCCTGTGCCTCGCATGCCTTACTGGTCAAACGGTTCTCACTCGGGCGATGCAAAAGAACAAGAAGATCGGCACGCAATTCCCCGCGACCTTGGATGTTCTTATGAGCTTCCTCAAAGATGATTTGAAGAAAGTGTGCCTAGACCGGGTTATTCTGTGCTAAGTTTTCTGGCCCATAAGACCACTTATTGATGTCGAGTCTCCAGGAGATTCAAACTTGATGGCATATCTTCCAGAAAGCTATGCTATATGGGATTGGCTGGGGACCAGAAGTGGTTCCAACAGATCCTGCATTTGCCTGTGCCTCAGACGGGTACATCGTTTTTCTCAATGCTAGTTCATCCCTGGCTCAGTCCTCGACACTGGAAGGGGAACGGCGAGGCCAATGGAAACAGGCCCGGACATGCTCTCGTTCGGCTTTGAGGGTCTGTGGGGTAAATGTGCTTTTTCGAGGTTATTTGTTAGGCTTCAGGTACCCAACTAGGAAGTGGGGGGATGATATTTTAAGTAGGCAGGTCTACACATAATCCTTATGTAGCCTAAAGCCCGAACCGAACCCTCACTCCTAAATACTTGGAAGTGACGAGCTAGATCTGTGTGCAGGATGTGCATGCAGTGCCAGCATCTAGGAAAGCATCTGGGTCCAAATATTGCGAAGCCGTGCGACCTTAACTCATCCCAGGCTTTCCTCCACGATAGATTTGATGGATGGTGCAACATTCTTATCTATGGGGTCCGGGCACTACCTGAACTTCTTCGGAGATTCTCCTTGGGAGCTTTGTGGTCGCGAAAAAAATACAGAGGCTTGTCTGCCAGAGGCAAACATTTTTTGATCGTAACAAGTTCAACTGAGGACTTCTTGCAAGAGCTCTGGACTGCCCAAAGGGGGCACGGAATCCCTGCACTCTGCGACTTCGATGGCTTCGACAGCAAGCTGATCCACTTCGACACATTACATGTGTGCTACAGGGGTTTTGGGCCAGACTTTACCGCTTCAGTCATGCTGGACCTTTTTCTGGGAAACGGAGGCTTGACAAAAGCTCACACTCTTGCCTCTACATGGGCGAAAGCCCAAGGCCTCGAACTTGCTTGCGACGACTTCAATCTAAATGCAGATGAGAAGTACGCTTTCCTTAATGCTAAGGGTGCAGACATCAAAGTCATATGTTTATGGCTTGTTCCTGGAGCTGACAGCAACTGTTTTTAAGCGCTTTTTTTGTCGAATAGTCTACCGGTAACCACCCTTACCCCGGCCTGTACCCTGTATACTCTAAAACCAGAGCCCTAAGCCTTAATACATACAGGCCTGAATTTCTGCATAGCTACAGAAGCCCAGGCAGTATTGTTCCGGTGGCTACGAAAACCTGGGCAGATAAGGAGAAAGCTGCAGTGCTGAATCTGAGACATGACTTCACAGTTTCGGAATTCAGATAAAGGCAAGTGCCATGCCTTTAAGCTTGGATCCAAGGACCGTCCGGTCATTGGCTCGGCTGATCAAACTCATGGATGCTTATCTCTACGTATTCCCACCGTCTGCTGTTGCAAAAGCGAAGAAGCTGGTTCGCCGTTTTTTGGTGGG